CCCGCCCCAGGCCCCACCTTTGGATCCGCCTCCGGCTCCGCCCCGTCGCGGAGCGGAACCCGCGGAGGGGGGCCTGGGTTACAAGGTAAGGGGGCCGCTTCGCCAGAGGCCCAGAATGCCCCTAATACGGTTGCTTGTGGCCCCGCCCCGTCCTGAGATGAACTCGCAACAGCGTCCGTGACCCCGCCCCCAGGCCCGCCCCCGCAGCGGAGCGGAACCCGCGGAGTCAGGGAGATAAAGGACGGGTTCTAGGGCTCCTCCCCGAATTGCCGTGAGGCCCGGGGGATGGGCAGCCAACCTCACCGGAGGCGGGAGAGGTAGGCCCGCCCACCGCGGCCACTGGGCTGGCCGCCGGCCAGGATCATAATTCTGTACCTGGCCGCTTCTCCACCGCCGAGCAGAAGCCAAGTAGTGGGGCCCCATAGGGAAGGAAAGGGGGCGGTCGGGGCAGGGTCACCTAGCCGCACCCTTCTTCCCCCCTTCGGCTCCTGTAGCCCCTGCCCCTGATGACCTCTCTCGAAGTCAGGCCTGCAGTCCACCTCCTACAGGCCTACTACTTGAAACTGGCATTTTTGCAGCGGTAATTACCTACAGTTCAGTCTTTGACCCAGTGTTCATTTTCCAACTAAATCTGTTCCACTGGACAGCTCGGCTAATGTAATTTTCAGAAGCCCTCTGCTAGTCTCCATGCATTTACTGTATGCTTGATCTAGTAGGCCGCTCCTCCTCCTCGCCTATCTGAAGCCTTTTTTTTTTTTTTTAAAGATTGTTTATTTGAAAGCGAGAATGAGCCAGGGAGAAAGGCAGAGGGAGAGGGCGAAGCAGACTCCTCGCTAAGCAGGGAGCCCGACGAGGGGCTCGATCCAGTGACACTGTGATCACGACCTGAGTTGAAGGCAGCTGCTTAACCTTAACCGACTGAGCCACCCAGGCGCCCCTGAAGCCTATCCTTTAAGAGCCAACTCAGGGGACGCCTGGGTGGCTCAGTTGGTTAAGCAGCTGCCTTCAGCTCAGGTCATGATCCCAGTGTCCCGGGATCAAGTCCTGCTCGGCGGGCAGTCTGCTTCTCCCTCTCCCTCTGCCTGCCGCCACTCCTGCTTGTGCTCTCTCTCTCTGACAAAAAAAATAAAATCTTAAAAAAAAAAGAGCCAACTCAGTTCTCCCCTCCTAGAAGCCCTCTCCGTTCTCTGAATTGCCATATAATTTCTTTGTAAGAACCTTAGTTTTGGAGTCAGTGCAAATTAAATTCAAATTCCAGTTCTGCCATTGACAAGTGTTGTGAGCTTTAGCATGCCATTGCAGCAGTTTGAAATTCAACGTTCCCATCTGTAAAATGGGGATAATAGCACCTACGTCATAGGGTGGCTAACATCAAGGGATGAATGTAAAGCACTTAGCAGCATGCCTAGCTCATAGAAAAGTACTTCATAAATCACAGCTGTTTTCATCTGTCATTTGACAATGTATTGCCTCATGTTATTTTCGTTTTCAGATGAGGCATGCTTTCCTAACTGGATTGTAAGATACTCATTCAAACAGCCTTTGAGGGGCGCCTGGGTAGCTCAGTTGGTTAAGGGCCAAATCTTGGTTTTTGATCCAGTTGTGATCTCAGAGTGTTGAGATCCAGCCCCCCCTCCCCCATGCCAGGGCTCCAAGCTCAGTGTGGGAAGTCTGCTTAGGATAGTCTCTCCCTCTCCCCCCTACCCTGCGTTCTCTAGTTCATAAATAAAAATCTTTTTTTAAAAAAAGTTTTAGGGTGCCTGTGTGGCTCAGTGGGTTAAGTGTCTGCCTTCGGCTCAGGTCATGATCCCGGGGTCCTGGGATCGAGCCCTGTGTCGGGCTCTCTGCTCAGCGGGGAGCCTGCTTCTCCCTCTCCCTGCCGCTCTGCCTGCTTGTGCGCTCTCCCTCAAATAAATTAAAAAAAAAAAAAAGTCTTTGAAATCTGCCATGTCTGCAACAGTGTTGAGCTCAGTGTCGAATGGATGAAAGAAAATCAGTCCTGCAAACTGGGTCCCCTTAACTAAATTCACTTTAGAAATTCCATACCATAAATCTATGTCACTCAACTAAAGCACCAAACCCCACATAATGTCACATACTTTTTTCTTACTATTGGCTCTTAAATTATGCAGCAATCCATGTGATGTGCCTCCATGCAGAATTTGCAATGATCTAAGGGTAAATAAAATTAGACATTAAGTTATCACCATTAAATCTCTTTTGGAATCGGAATATGTACTCTTAACAGAACTCATATTCTGCATCAAAAAGCTGGGATGGGATCATTGCTTCATTACCGTTACTGTTCACACTGAATGCTTCTTTAAGAGTTCATTTTGCAGCCATGGGAGAAATACCTGATAACCTTTGCTCATTACCTGGCATTTCTATCCAGTATAGAAATATTTTCAGCTTATCTCATTCTTGATGAATTCCCCTATGCACACATATACCCCTTTGGTGTATAGCTAGCCTATAGTGTATAGCTTTGGTCTATGCTTTAATGAATATTATCTTATCAGCTCTATTTTTCCATAAGCTTGAAATTCCAGGGTAAAACCAAGAAGCAAAGCTACTACTTTTTAGCTTTTAAATTTCCATGCATATTTTGGACCATAAGCTGTGCTATATAAAAATCAGACTCATGGGCGCCTGGGTGGCTCAGTTGGTTAAGCGACTGCCTTCGGCTCAGGTCATGATCCTGGAGTCCCTGGATCGAGTCCGCATCGGGCTCCCTGCTCGGCAGGGGGTCTGCTTCTCTCTCTGACCCTCCCCCCTCTCATGTGCTCTCTCTCATTCTCTCTCTCAAATAATTAAAATCTTTAAAAAAAAAAAATCAGACTCATATCTTAGTATCCCTTTGTCCCTAAGATACAAAACTTCCATATCTTGGTTTCTATATCCATGAAGCCTTTCTCTGGCTGTGATCCAATAGACAGAAACCTGTCTCCAAAGTCATTTCTCAAATATTTGTCAAGAATCAGATATGGGGGGCGCCTGGGTGGCTCAGTTGGTTAAGCGACTGCCTTCGGCTCAGGTCATGATCCTGGAGTCCCGGGATCGAGTCCCGCATCGGGCTCCCTGCTCGGCAGGGAGCCTGCTTCTGCCTCTGACCCTCCCCCCTCTCATGTGCTCTCTCTCATTCTCTCTGTCTCAAATAAATAAATAAATAAATCTTAAAAAAAAAAAAAGAATCAGATATGGAACATGATGACGGGGTATGTTGTTGTTTTTGAAGCAGATTCATGGTCTTTGTAGACATGAAAGCCCAAAAACTGGACTCTAGGGTCCATACAGGACTTCTCTGACCTCATCCAGAGGGTCTGCCTCATTGTCCTGCCATAGGGGCTCAGGTCAACGAAGTTCCCAGGGAGCCCCATGTCATCAACCAAGGCAGAAACCAGTGTTTCTTCTGGAAGGCTCAAATTTTTGACCCTAAGGAAAAGCACCCCATCTTTGACACCAAGAAGAGGGTCCATTCTGAATGGATTTTCTGAAAAGAGCTAATGTGCCAAATTCTGTTATTTCTATGACAATCACATCTTTGTTGACTGGAGATCATTTTCATTGCAATGTTTTAAAGAATGTACAATTTGTCTCTGTTCCAGATTCCTGCAGCTAGTTTGAGACTAAGAAGTAAAGAGTAGAAACATCAGAGAGTGTAAGATTTCTTCTCAGTGAAGAATATACAGATATATTTAAAAGAATATATTCTGGAAGAATGTAGTCAATTTTTCTTTGCCTCAACATTTTGATGCTGTACCTAGAGAAAAGAAAAAAGAATCTACTGACAAGAATTCTGCCCACTCAAGATTATGTTTTTATGTCCACCCAGTCTTTCCTTTTTCCTGTCCTTCAACTGCATCAGTTGGAGCTGAGCAGAGACAAACTAAATAGTCCTTAAAATGCTGTTATGGAGAAAAAATGATAACACACTAGTCCATTCAGTAAAATGTTCATTTAGTAAAGTAGCCCGTTGTCAAAATGGTCTTCAAACTAACCTGCTTTCTACGTGACCTCATTAGATATACACCAGCATCCCAAATGAAGCCATTTCACCATTTTTGCTGAGACTAGTCCCAATGCTGCTCCCTGAAGTTAAGAGTTACTCTGTGGGATTAATGATTGCAGTGTGTTTTGGGGAAAAACTTCTCAAATGTTCTGAAGAAATTCTTCTTCAAATACTGGTCACTGCTGTGATGCTCCTTGCCTCCTCATACTAGCACTTCTGTCTCCTTCAGTGGAGTCTCAGATTGTGAGACCAATTTTAAACTCAAAGAAGGATGCTTCTCAGGAACATTCTCTCTGTCCTGCCCCTAATGTGTGTGAAGTAAAAAAAAAAAAAAAAAAAAATAGATGAGAATTTGGCTTAAGGACCACAACCCAGACACAAAACACAAAAGGGAAAATAAGGGGGCATGGACAGAATCTAAAGAACACTGGACACTGTGCATCCTTTGGTGTACACTTGATTACATCATCTCCAGGAGATCTGGTCTGTGAGATCTCACACCCAAATCTCAGGTTATCTCACCACCTTCTTCATCAATTTAATCCTCAACATCTTTGAGGCAGCGGAGCATCACAGGAGAGATTGCTCAAAGACCTCTTATAGAATCAAGGCCAGCTTCCCCCGTTTGTAGCTCCCCTGTACTAATCAGTTCCCCAGAAATCCCTAATCCTGTCCTCACCTTCTTGAAATCCTACTGTTCAATGCTGAGGATGCAGAGACATGGAGGGGGGATCCAAATCTGGGGCTGTGAAGGCCAATGGCAACATGTGTTAAGGAGGGAATCTTGAAAGTGTGAGGGGAAAAAGAAGAAGAGACCTCAGAAACTGATCTCGTGGGGAGAAACCTTGCTCTCACCTCACAATCACTGTGTGTCCGCTGTTTGCCAGAAGATGTTACCGTCACGTTCCTCTCAGGCCACTCACATGCCACGTCGCCGGGGCAAGAGATCCCAGGCGCCTTCCCTCAGTGAAAGCTTTCAAACTCAAAGGACTGAACTACAAATTTATTTTGGCGATCTTAACATTTTTGTCGATTTTAACATAAATACAAGACAATTAAATAAATCAGAGAAGAAATCTTGCAAAGGCAAATCAGCACTCACAGAAGTGTATTACATTATTATTGTGGTTAGTCGGGGATACAACATTCACTTGAAATATATGCAAGGGAACCATAGTGAAAGACCGAACTACAGGGTTTTGCAAGGTTCCTAATCAGGACACACTTGAGGCATTGTTCAGGCAGCTAGCTATAGGCGGGAAGCAAGATAAACCCTCTATAACTAGGAGCAATCAGGGTTTGATACATATGGAAACAATAGCACTGCAGGATAGTTCACGTTCCCAACAGCTGCTCCCCCTTGTCACTATACATTCTTCAACACTTGACACCTTTTAAGAAATAATTATAGCTCTGGCAGGGCCAGAGTGTACCAGTCCTAACAACTAAAGTACTATGCAGTCACCTTTTAAAGAAGAGCAGTATGATTTTTTTTTTTCCTCATATACATCTCCTTTAAAAAGGAATCCTACTCTACTCCCCTTTTCTCCCATCCAAGTACTAACCAGGCCCGACCCTGCTTAGCTTCCGAGATCAGACGAGATCGGGCGCGTTCAGGGTGGTATGGCCGGCCGTAGACTCTACTCCCCTTTTCTGAAAGGCTCTGGGGATTTGAGAAGCGGCAGTGTATGTTTCTCCTCCACATTCACAATCTTCCTGATTACAGGTCCATCCTTCTCCATGGCCAAGGTGATTAGGGACGAGATCAGGAGATGGGTATTGGGACTGGGTGCCGCACATGGCTGTACTCGTGGTGCCCTGCACAAGGGTGCACCCGAGAGGATGCGTGGGGCTCAAATATGGCCCCCACTTTGTTTGACAAACCATGAGCCCTCGGGGCTGTGTCTGCCCAGTAGGGGCACCTTTTTCCAACTCGCTCAAAGGCACTATATGAGCTAATTGCGCACTGTCTGCGCACACTTTTTCCAGTCTGGCTGGCAGCATTATTTCTTGATTTCAGTGATGCTTCTGTATTTCACATCCCATATAATCTCCAAAAGGAGCTGAACCAGCAAGGATTTTCTGAATTATCACATTAGACACAATAACACAACCACGATTCTACAAAGAAATTAATTTACACATTGTACCTCTGAAACAAATAATACATTATATGTTAAAAAAGAAGAAGAAGAAGATAGCAGGAGGGGAAGAATGAAGGGGGGGAAATTGGAGGGGGAGATGAACCGTTAGAGACGATGGACTCTGAAAAACAAACTGAGGGTTCTAGAGGGGAGGGGGGTTGGAGGATGTGTTAGCCTGGTGATGGGTATTGAGGAGGGCACGTTCTGCATGGAGCACTGGGTGTTATGCACAAACAATGAATCATGGAACACTACATCTAAAACTAATGATGTAATGTATGGTGATTAACATAACAATAAAAATTTAAAAAAGAAAATAAATACAAAAAAACGTAGAAGATATGTGACATGTGGGGCACTAGAATTTAGCTTATTTATAACAAAGGCATGCACAACTAAACTCACCAACAGGCTGAAGTCAACAGTTGCTTTATAGGACCTTATCATAGATGACTCAGCCTCTTTAAAATGTGGCTAGAAATGAACTACTTTGATTTTAAACGAGTCTTATTCTTACTGTGTTGTTTAAACCCAATCTTCTTTTAAAATGAAGGATAAAAAAAACGAGACAGCAAATGTCTAAAAACCATGTATAACGTCTTGGGTTTCCTCTTTCAATAACCATTGCCCTCAATTAGCGTATGTTCCTCCAGAGGTTGCTGAGTATAAAATTAGTTGATTTTCATACATCTCACATTGTGTAAAAGGTAAAATTGGACATTTTCACTGTCAAGCATCATGCTTTGATTTTAGAAAAAGGAATCACATTTGCTCAATAAAGTGTAAGCTTCCCCGCTTTGAAGTCCTTCTGAGAGCGAGACGGCCTTTACCATTGCACGAATCTTCTTTCTCGGTAAACATGTACTGCTTCCCAGTGAAATCATGAAGGCACACATCTCCATTCTGAGCACTGAAAGAAACACCATTCTTGTCTGTTGAAGCATTCCCTATATAAGGAAAAACAAAATTGGTGTCATGAAGTATCCAGAGAAAGCAATTAAAAAATACAGTTAAACATCACTTCGTTCTGAAGTAGGCACATGTAGTACATGGGTTTGTTTTTTTTTTAAATATAGCTATGATGTATTGTCATGTTTTACTTTTCGATCCTTCCCTGAGGCCACTCAAAGTAAACAACACAAACTGGAGGATGTGTCAGAAACCAGTTCTCTATGGCAATTTTTTTTTTTTAATGAAACGGTCAAAATATGAAGCGAAGCAATATATTTGATATGAGAAGACCCATTTCCTAACTCTGGTTGATCATATTATTGAGAAGTAGCTTCTGTGTAGTATGACCTAATATAATATTCTGGTCTCCCCCAAAAGGTTAAGGTTAACCGAGGTCCCCATATGTCCCCTTACAAGGTTCTTGGTTCCTTCAGGTTCCTATAAAATAAAACTTTGTATCAGAGAAACCCAGAGCAACAACAGTCATGGCCAAGAAAAAACCATCTCTGGTAGAGTAAACCGGCTCCTCTGACTAAATCACGACAGGACTGGTTCCCACGAGGAAACCACCAATTAATTACAACCTCAGAGTCCAGGCCAGGGTGCAGCTGGACATTCTAGAGCCAATGTAGTTCGGACCTGGGCCTCCCACACCACAAGCAGGCCCCCAACTGTGTGTGTGCTCAGACCCTCTGGCTACTTGGCACCAACCTCCTGACCATCATACTACTGGAAGACAATGTAGCAAGCCAAATAACAGGGCGCCTCGGTGGCACAGTCGGTTGAGTGAGCGACTCTTGTTTTCGGCTCAGTCCATGATCTCAGGGTCCTGAGATGGAGCCCCGCGTCAGACTCCGCACTCAGTGCAGAGTCTGCTTGAGATTTTCCCTCCCTCTGGCTCTGTCCCTTCCACTTGTACGCTTTTCCTCTCTCTCTAAAAAATAAATAAATAAATCTTTAAAAAAAAAAAAAGAAAGCTGAATAATAAGCCCATTTTTGAGTTCATGCTATAATCATAATAATGATTAACAGTGTTGAGAACTTTATAAGTATTATCTCATTTACTATACTACACGTTGAGTGCTATGATTATCCCCATCTCACAGACGATGAAACTAAGGTTTCAGAAATTAAGTGCTTTGTACACGGTTATGCAGCTCAGAATTGATGGAGTCAACATGTGATGTTTCTTTCAAACTGTGAGTTTAGTGGCCCCCCATGTACCGAGTGAGAGGGCTGCTGGTGCCCAAGCCTTTAAAGCATAACCAGATATGTAGCATTCACACAAACTACGTGAGGGACATGGTCAACACAGCCCAAATAGGGCATGTGACCATTTGAGACAGCTGTCCTGATTTAGCCATTTTGGTTTGAGGACATTTTGGTGCAGGGACAATTTGACCTGGTATAATACACCATTAACCTTCCAGTTTCTTTTTTGGAATTGCCCATCCCATACCTCATCCATCCCAGATCCTGGTGTGCAGCCTGAGGAGTCAGGGATGTCTATCTGATGAGCATGTTATGTGGTATTAAAAACTTGGCCATTCCGGTGGCCTAAAATGTACCCCCCCCCCCCGCCCTCACTGTCGGCCATCCAAAACAACTGTGTCAAATCAGCCATGTCCAACAGCTGTGCAAAATGTGTTGCTTCAGTCAAATCTGATTGCCCAAAGCATGGCAACACAGGCTAGGCAAGTGAGGCTTCATCTGTGAGTTGTTCCTAGAATATGGAAAAAACCTGGCTTTAAGAGCGCCAAACATTTCTGTCCAAGCCAACAGGCTTTCTGATATGTTGTGATTTTGAGGATTCATGATGGCTTACCTCACACCTCTGATTTCTCTGCCTTGAACTTGCTTTTTCACGCTAACTTATCAGCCAGTCTTGATTGCTACTGGCCCCACTCTCTTTACTTAACATTGAGTCATTCCCGACAGAGCCATTTGTCCTAGAACCCAGAGCTCTTACGCCGGCAACTGCGGTGAAGAGCTAAGGCCAGATGGTAGGTGTTTTTCGTCTTCTACAGCAATGGTTCTCAGTGAAGGGGAGGTGGGTGATTTTACCCTTTAGGAGACATTTCACAATGTCCGAAGACATTTTTGGTTGTCACAACTGGGGGTGAGTGGGTGGATGCTACTGGTATCTGGTGGGTGGAAACTAGGGATGTTGCTAAACGTCCCCAACTGCACAGGACAGCCCCCCCCCCAAACAAAGAGTTACCTAGCTCCAAATGTCAATTGTGCCGAGGTTGAGAAACCTCAATTTAGAGGCATTCCATTGTATTTTTAAATTCTATATAAACCAGCAGGACCTCCCATCTTTAGGTTGGAAACCTGACAGGTATATGAACTTTCTCACATATTTATTTGAATTCATCATGAAAATAATTAATATCCTAAAATGATGAATAAAAGCAAATTCTCCAGGGAAGGAGAAAGTATACGAGTAGAAATAGAAGTTTTGATGAAAATGCAAAAGATGTATTAAGAAGCCAAAGAAGAATGAAATACATAAGCTTTTATGAATGGACAACCAAGTGTATGAAAGAAAGAAAATGTAATGGAAGTTTTAGCTAGAAATGTCAGAATTAGTATAAGGAGGCGTTGCAGCAATAATCTGTTCATATATTGGTGACATACATGGTCACCAGTACTGGCCACAATTCATCTTGGCAGTATTTGACATATTAATGGGGATCTGGGCACTGCCACAAGGCAGCCATGCTGTGGAAAAGAATGAACAAACATGACAAGCAAAAAATAGGAAGGTTTAAAAGTGTTGAAAATATGTATGATTATACATGTACTAAAAAAATTGATATGGTCTTGGGACGCCTGGGTGGCTCAGTCGGTTAAGCATCTGCCTTCAGCTCAGGTCATGATCCTGGGGTCCTGGGATCGAGTCCCGCATCGGGCTCCCTGCTCTGCGGGGAGCCTGCTTCTCCCTCTGCCTCTGCCTCTCTCTCTCTCATGAATAAATAAATAAAATCTTTAAAAAAAATTGATATGGTCTTAACTATTTTCGGAACAGCTTACACAGCAGGAGAACAGCACTGAGGTCTTTGGGCAGTCCTTAAATCAGGATTTGCAACGTGAAACATTTTAGGTCATCATTAAGTCCCATCATGAAAAACTAAACCTTAAAAAAAATGTTTTTCTGGTATTTGCTCTAAATTGAATACATTTGGATTAATAAACTTCCTCTACCATAAGGGAGCCACATTTTGATCCACTAGTCATATGTACTTTTTCTCTTTGCTTAGCAAAAATGCCATTAAAGGATAAAAGTACTTTAATAAAACAAACACTAGCTTGAGAAATACTATGTTGAGGGATACGTACCATTCCCGCTCGCAAGGCCTGAGCAATCGTTATTCACCAGCAGCGTGGTGGAGTGCGTGGAGTTACTGTTTGACTGTAAGGAATTTGAAGAGCTGGACACTCCTTGGTTTACAGTCTGCTTCTTTAAACCATTAGTAGCAGTTTTACTCCAGTCTACAGCAGAATAAGCATTTCAGAAAAACAGGGCGGAATGTTTGAAGCTCAAATGCAAGAGACAGATCACAGGGGAACTCGTTCTAGCAACTGATCTCACTTCCAGATCCCACTTCCACTTCTTACAAAGAAGTCACACATTTCACAAGTTGGTGTGATAAAATGTATTTTCACTTAAGACTATATACCTTTATCCTTTAAACGACCACTTGGTTAAAAGTAACCTATATGCTCTTGGGACTAAAGGCTACGCTCATTTGATTGTGTCTAAAGATAGCCACTGAATTAGGCAGTACTCCAGAACCAAGGATTGTCTTAACAAGAACACAAGATGGGGCGCCTGGGTGGCTCAGTCGGTTAAGCATCTGCCTTCGGCTCAGGTCATGATCTCAGGGTCCTGGGATCGAGCCCCACATTGAGCCCCATATCGGACTCCTGGCTGGCTCAGCGGCGAGTCTGCTTCTCCCTCTCCCTCTCCCCCTGCTTGTGTGCTCTCTCTCTCTCTCAAATGAATAAATAAAATCTTAATAACAACAAAAAAACAAGAACACAAGACACCTGTGTTGTGGTGACAGGTGGCTCTTAAATGACTTAAAATGACTGAACTATATGTACTGCTATTTTCTGAGTGCAGATCTGGTGCACACAGGTCCCTGCCATACCGCAAAGGTGGTATTCGTGGGTGATATTCATGTAAAAGGAATTTGTTTTTAAACAGTACTTCAGTTTTCTTATTTTCTTGAAAAGGAGCCATTTGCTCTGCAAAGCAGCAGGGCACGCCTGAAAAGAACTTCAAAATAACCAAAGGTATGCTAAAGCTTATATACAACGTCTGGGCCACTAACAAATTAAGCAATGGACAACCAGGACCTGTGGAAAAAAGGTTGAGCCAAGGCTTTTTTTTAATAAGAAAATAATATGCTTTATTAAAGAATTATAGAATTTTTAAATGTTTTTAAGTCCAGTAAGTTTAGTGTACTATTAGTTTCAGGTGTGCACTATAGTGACCCAGCACTTCCACACGTGCTGAGTGCTCATCACGACACGTGCCCTCTGGAGTCCCCATCACCTGTTTCACCCCTCCCCCCAGCCCCCAGGTTGAGCCAAGGCTTAACAAGTTATGAAGGTAAATACGAAAAATTACTTCAGACAAATGGAAAACCTGGGCTCAAAAGGAAAAATTGCACTCTTGTTTCATTTAAGAAGCAATGAGCCCGTTAATCCTATTGTTCACGAAGTTCCCAGATAATGAGCAATTATTTTTTAATTCACTAGGGTTTTTCTCCCTAATGTCCACAATTGAGATCCGTTCACTGATTTCCAGATCTGACAGCCCTTCGGCATTGACTGCTTTAGATCTTAACTTATGTCTTTTCCCCAAGATTTAAGAGGAGAAAAAGGTCAATCTTTACCAGAATTTTCAGCCAGCCGTAACTTTCCACAACAAAGATACCGCCTCCATTGCTTTCTGACGTTCTCTTTTGCTACACAGTAAAAGATGAATATGAAAAATCCTATGGAGGAAAAAAAAAAACCTGTAACATAATTCCAAACTGAGACCTGAATGTCATGAACTTCCTTTGCCCAAAAGATAAAATCTTTGGCAGCTATAGGCAATGTGAAATTTTACAAATGGGGGGGAAAAAAGTCCAAAGTCCTAAGAAAGTCTGCTATTGAAAGGCACCCTGAAGGGACTCTCTTTGTAAGATAAAAAATACTTATGAGAGGAATGATAACTCCCTATTTCCAAAATTAAACTGTCTCTCCTCTCACATCCCATCCTTGGCGTTCCCTATCTTTGGAAGTATAAGCCATCCACTCTACTCAGGATGCCAGCTCAGACCTTGGCTCCTACTTCCCCACCCTTCCATATTTATGATGCATCTTCATGTTCAGTCAAGTGCCACATCCTCCTCCTCGGTCTCAAATCCCTGGCTCCTCCTCTCCAGCCCATGGCAGAGTCCCTTGCCTGGGCTCTTCCCTCTTCCTCCCAAGCCTGGTGCCCCACAGTGATGTCCTTGTCTGCCCTCCAGTCTCCCTCTACTCTGTTCAAGGAAATTCTCCACTGTTGTCCTGGCCACAAAGAAAGCAACACTATAGACCTGAAGAGGGACTCGGGTTCTGCCTCCCACCCACCTTCTTCCTGGTCCTGCAGGCACGGGGCTCCATGCTGCTACCACGCCTCAAGGCTTTTGCCAATAAATATTTGCTGAACGAATGGGCGACTTCTGAATTCTCCCTCTCCTGAAATCCCAGTCGGTCTTTAAAATCTTCCTTTTTAAATATCAGGTTTGCTTCTAGTACAGTACACATGCCCATCCTAAAACCTGCCATCTTGACTACTGCACACCTTTGTTTATCTGCTACCCTTGGGCAATTCCCCTTGGTTGCACAAGAGGAGAAACAGCATGTATGAGAGAGATCAAAATGGACCTAAGCCCAACTCAGAACCTACACACAGCTTTCCTTTAACCAACCACAAAGCCAGTGAATTAGGCATTAGTTCCCTTTTGTAAATGGAACGATGCATTCCTTTCATCTATTCATATTCTAATGAGAAGACATTCTGGGGGAAATGAAGACAGAGGCAGGTTCAGTTTCCACATTAAATATATGAGGATAGGTACCCTGCTTTCATGTTTGTGATTAGTGTGATGTGGGCATATTTTTTGCTCTTTTAGCATGCCTTTAAGGCAAATAAAACTTTTCTATTTAATACTATGTGGTGTAACACCTGGATATACCAATTCAGGAACTGGTACATTGTAAGTTAAAATTAACAGGGGCACCTGGGTGGCTCAGTTGACTCTTGATTTTGGCTCAGGTCTTGGTCTCAGGATCCTGTGATTGAACCCCCCCCATCGGGCTCCACTTCTCTCCTCCTTTCCTCTCTCTCTCAAGTAATAAAGAAATAAATCTCTAAAGACATAAAATCTTTTTAAAAAATCTAACAAACTATGTAACTAACAAGTATATTAACTGGCTTCCTCCAAATAAGAACGGATAGCTAAATTAGGCATTTGAATTCAATCTCACGTTGGGATTTCTTTGAAAACCAGCAAAATAATCTACTGCCTGACAGAACTACGGGAGGACGCTATGGGAGCTAAAAGCAACAGGAAGGAAAAGATGAAAACAGGCAGATGAGAATGAATTAAAAGGCATCCCACAGCCGATTTGGAATAACAGGAAACCAAGGGACAAGAATTATCATTATTGTTACGTAAACCTATTAGCCTGCTTAGCATTTAATGCTAAAGTACTTCCATTAAAAATTAATTACAGCTGACAGGTCTTTTATAACGCTGATCTGAGTTAGTAGTTTGCTTTTCTGAACACCACAACTTGATGGGTTGGGAAATGTGTGCAGCTGGGCTTCAGGAACAAATGGAAAGCCGTGAAGAGCTCACACAGAGCCTGCCCCTTTCCCGCCGGGGTGGCCCAGCACAGCAACTTCTCAGGAAGAGCCGCAGGGCCGGGCTGTGGCCACTTGGCTCTGTCTATTGACTTCCCATTTCTCATTGCCTTCACTCAAACAGACCTAGAAGGTGGGCGTGGCCAGACGTCACCCGGACATATATGATCACGTGCACTTTGCTGTTTGCATGTTCTACCTCCATAAAAAGATTAAAAACAAAGGACAAGGAACCAAGTGAAGGAAGAGTGATTCCCATAAGCGAGTTCCTGGCAGGTTGGCAGGTTCCCCTCAATATGTTCTCTCTGAGGAGACAATATGGAGGAGGAAAAAAGTACCCGTTTCTTCCAAGGATCTCCAAGCCCCCTTTTTCAAAGATGAATCTGTTTTTCAACAAGTAAGTCTTCAGCTACGAAATAAGCCACTTCACGGATACTTTTTAGAGATTTTTAGTTCGACTGGGATCATTCATGCATAATTAGTGCTACAGAGCTTACCTTGTAAGGTGTTAAAGATTGCGAAGAGATACATGAAAGTGACGTTAACTGGTCCCCAGGCAAAGAAGGCAAAGCCCCAAGTAATGCCCAGTAAAAACGTAAGGCCGGCGACGCTCCTGAGGTCTTGAATACTGGTTTTCCGCTGGGCTCCCAGTTGTTTCTTCTTTTTAATTCGACAGAGCTGAACCAGGACCACAATGAACATGCTGACGTTCAGCAAAAATATCAAACAGAAATATCCCACAACTGTAATATAGAATACAGCATTGCTGTTGATCCAGCAACTGGAATTTGGGGGGAAAGACAATGGGAAACATATTACAGTGCTGAAATATGGTTCACAATGATACAATGAATCTAAATCATTTTACCGAAACATCCAAGAGGAAAAAAAAAAAAGATAAAACCAGCTGTTCGCTAACAACCACTTAAAGCTCGAAGGAAAAAAAAACCCTAAGAGTTTATTTTAGGACACTTGGTGATTAGAAGTATTTACAAACTATTCTTTGAAAACATTCCTGATTTTACCCCCTTTAAATCTTAGTCACTCTATCCATGAGTCTTTACTAATATAATGTAGCTGGTATTTCATTTTTATCAGAGGCTTAGAAAAGTATTTTCAAAAAACTTCCAATTCGTTTTTTTAATACTTAAATAGTAGCATGGCATTTCCAACTAGCTTATCTCATCACATACATAACTGTGAAGACTGCCGTAAATGTGACTGGATTTTATTAGGATGAGCGTCAGAGTCGATTACATACTCCACTTCCTTGGAGAATTCAGTTTTCCAGTTCACTTAACATTCCCTCAGGGACTTTGTACTCACAAGTCATCAGGTGAGCCATTGGGGAATTTCCCGTAGGACCCAAGGCCGTAGTTATTCGGGGATATAGCCAGGATGATGGTCACGACCACAGCTGGTAGCCCTGGAAGATGGGAAACATCAGTCACACGGAGTTCTAATAACCAAGGTGGTAAGAAGAAAGACTAGAGATCACGTTCTAGTTTCTTCTGGTAGCAGACTGCTGAGTTGTTCACCAAACCCTGTTTCTCTTTCTCCTTGGCACATGGCTGGACCTCTCCCAGCCTGCTTTGCAGCTGTGTGTGGCCACATAACTAGGTCTTGATCAGTGGGATATGGACAGAAGTGATTTGCTCTACCTCTACGCTTGTCCCATAAAAACTTCCTATATGAGATCCTCCACTCTTTCTTTTCCCAAATTCAGGGCAATTTTGGAAGCCCTGTCTTGAGGCAGAGCTTCCCACAGCTTGGATCCTGAATAACCACAAGACCACAGACCTCTCCAGTCCTGCTAACTGGACTGTGTGTGAGAAATTATCTTCTCCTGAGATTTTTTTTTTTGTCAACTACAGCAGCTAGAGTTACCCTTAACTTATACACATCTGGAATGTAATTTTGAGGCTCAGGTGGCAGGCAAAGTGAAGGACTCCAAAATGTAAAGCAAATAATCAGCATAATAGGGTTATCAGCAACTCCTGGCCAATCTTTCATTATGAACCCCAAATCCTCCACTGACGAGCTGGAACCCATCAATGGATTGAGGAGCAGACCTGGTTGATCTGGGGGCTGCTGACTGCCACTATACTGGCCCTTTCAAGGGCCTACTGGCCCTTCCACTAAGAAGCAGCACAATGAGAAGGCTCTTCCCAGCTTAAGATGGTGTTTGGCTGGGAAGGAGTCCCTCTCACTCCCCATCCCGTCACCCCTCACCCCATTCCATGCGGACAGCTCACACTCTGTGCACAAAGATCAGCCTGACACCCAGTCTCAAGTCTCTGGTAAATAAAAAACAATTCCAGCGCCTGGGTGGCTCAGTCGTTAAGTGTCTGCCTTCGGCTCAGGTCATGATCCCAGGGTCCTGGGATCGAGTCCCGCGTCGGGCTCCCTGCTCGGCGGGAAGCCTGCTTCTCCCTCTCCCACTCCCCCTGCTTGTGTTCCCTCTCTCGCTATCTCTCTCTCTGTCAAATAAGTAAATAAAATCTTTAATAAATAAATAAATAAATAAAACAATTCCTCCTCACAGGCTGGGGTGCCTGGTACAATCTAACATAATATTTCATTTAATTCTTTTCTATTTGTACCTTACAGAGACACTAACATATGATAACTTCCTAAGTGAAACACTTTTCTAAAAATAAAACACTGGGGTTGTGGAGCCTGTCCAGGACAGAGAATGTGACCTTTTGGTATTCCACAAAGAGAGAATCCATGCTCGGTGTCAGAAGCAGTGATTTATTTTTCTAGGAAGAAGTGACTCATCTCTCTGGAAAGGTGTTCTGTTATTCTTGACAGGGATATAATGACAGGTGGGGTGACAAGTGTGGTAAAGGGTCTGCAGTACTGTTGTGTAGGGAATATCTGAAGGAATATTTAGCCTGAAAAAGAGCAGAGGGAGGGATGGTGGCTGTAATTCAAAGGAAAGATACGCACGAGAAATCGGAAAACCAGGCTGCGCTGTTCTCAAATTGTGTGAATTGGGTAAATCATGTCGTCGCTTCGAGCTGGTTTCTGTACCGGGTGTCAGCAATAACTGCCTGTTCCAACCTCACCAGCTTAGCTTTCGTGGGGTTCCTTGTGTGAAAATACATGGAAGAACAGGGCATTTTTCATAATGTTATATATTACTTGCAGATTATCTGAAGGGCTCTTTGGCAGAGAGGTGTCAGCTTATTGTTTTGCCTTAGAAAGCAAAAACGAGACCACTGGGTAAGTGCCACCAGAGAGCCAAGTGAACTTAATGGGAAATCAGAGCTGTAGGGCTTTAGAAAATGGTATTGGCTGCCTTGTAAGGTATTAAAAAGAAGACAACAGACCTAAAATTGAGTCACTTATGGTAAGCCCCAGGTGATGAAACTGAGACTTGACTTAATTACAATTTCAGCTCCCCCAGAAATGGAATCTTAAACCAGTCAATCAGGAATCACATTATTAGCACTAGTTACGTAATCTGCCTGATAGACACCTCTGTCATCCCCTAAAGGAGCGTAACCTTGCAATAACGAACTCCCTTTTTTGCCTAGAATAACTTGCTTATTCCTGTTCCCTTCTGCCTATCAACGTCTTTCGTTTTGTACAGCTCCTTTCTATCTGCTAGATTGGATGCTGCCGATTCATGAATCCCTGAATAGAGCCGATAAGATCTTTAAAATGTAGTCCGTTGAATTTTGTTTTTTTTAACAAAGATAATGAGCTCCCTAATAATAGAAGTGTTCAAGCAGAGGTTAGATTACCTTTAGTCAAAGACAAGTCCAGTCAGGTTGATGAGGCTCCTACATTTGGTGGAGAGCTGAATGCCCGAATCTTCAAGATATGCGCGGTGTCTAAGACTTTGGGACCCACCACCAACAGGTGGCATGATCTGAAAACTGTGTCAGTGTGGCTGTGAAGTTACATCAGGTCTCACCTGGTATGTTCATCTCACTCTGCCCTTTTGAGCACAGTGTCGTACATGTGTGTCATATCTGGGAGATCTACAACAGAGTGAGGCTAGCTAGGAGGTCAGGGACAGAAAGCTTGACCTCATTATCACGAAGCTCACTTCTTCAATTTTTTGAGCACCTTCTGTGTGCCAGCCCTAACTCTAGTTACTGGAGATACAGACAGTATTCATAGCCCTAACCTCAAAGAGTTTTATGTCCATAACCAATATACAGGTATTCTAGAAAGAGACTGGACAAGGTTGAGGCGCCTGGGTGGCCAGGCAGAGAAGCGTCCAACTGTTGGTTTCGGCTCAGGTCATGATCTCAGGGTTATGAGATCAAGCCCCACGTCGGGTTCTGCATTCAGCAGGGAGTCTGCTTAAGATTCTCCCTCTCCCTCTGCCCGCCCCTCTAAAACAAATAAATCTTAAAAAAAAGAGAGAGAGAGAGACTGGAAAAGGTTGCCCTTTGGGCAGGCAGTGCAGTTAAGGACAACATAGCTGTTTTAGAAACCTGCCAAGTATGACCTGCTTTATCATCGTCTCTACCTGATGAAAAACCAAAATAGAGGAGTAAAAGCTTTGGAGAAAGCCCAGGCCACGTGCAAGCAAAATTATACATACCCCAACCAACAACGCAGAATTTAAGGATGTATTTCCGGATATAAGTATTAAACACTTTCACAAGGGCCAGGTACATATGGAATGCTTCCAGGCCCATCCATGTGAATGAGACCAAGAGAAAATAATGCAGAAATACAGCCACCGAGATGCAGAGGCCTCGCATGTCATACAGAGCTATCCATGAGTCCAGGAGAAATACCAGGTTCAGCAGGAGCAGAGCTGCACACAGCTGGATGAGGATTTTGGAAGGATAATCCCTCCGAATCTTTCTAAAAGGAAAGGACAAGAAAACGCTTATGTGAACATATCTATGAAATTTATGTGTATTCTTTGGCAAATGTCTATACGCATCAATTTCTTCTGTGTGTGTGTGTGCCAGGGGTAGGGGTGGGGGCAGGCATTGAAAATCAACGACCATAACAACAACAAAGGAAAAATCAAAACAGAATATCGTCTGTCATAACAATATGGAAAATCGGTATTTGCATCTCTGTGGAATCTTTTACATGCTGACAGCTGACCCGACCTTTTAAATAATTTGTAGTGGAATCTACTGAGCACCCACCTTCCTTTCTCCCAAGCGACTTCGAGAAGCATTGCTGTTGCTTCTCATACGATAGGCTCCTACATTCAGATCTTCAAAACCTAGCCAGATCCCCCATGATGTTATTAGTTAAAATGAGATCATGGAAAGAAGAGTTTAAACTACAGCTAAATGAAACAGGCAGAGGAAATTAGAGCTAACTGATGACATGTGCATGTGTGTGTGTGAAATCAGACCTGGTGAAATCATTCTGAGTAATGGCTGGCCTGATGGTAATTTAGTCTCATTAATCATATTTCCAAAGGTCCACTAGAAGATTTGTAGTTACAGCTGGACCCTAAGTTTGGCACTGCAAGTAAATTTGTGCATTTCCTGAGCAGTGTCCAAAATCTAAATCCCAGAACTTACATACTGTTTAATTTAGTTAGTGCAATAAAAGTGCCTATTTTCTTTTTTTTCCCAACAGAATTTGTTGGAATTCGCCCCCCCACCCCAAAGTGACCAAAGGAACACTTCAAGTAAGCCAAGAAGGAGATGCTATTATTTGGAATGTCATTCTTGCATGACTTACAAAGTTGCACTCATGAATTATCTATCTTTTTCAGTGAGGCTTTACACCTTTTATTCTTCTTCATCCCCATACCTGCTACTGTTTTTAATCTTTCGTGTTTGCTCAGTGTAACTTAGAAACTTAATAAATTGAACATAGCTCTTATGCCGTACGTGAAGCTATGGTCTATATCAGAGTATAAGCTCTTGAGTTTCAAGGTCTGCATCCATCTTCCATTTCACGCTTAATGGCGGCGAGGTAGCAGGCACCATTTTAGGGTAAAAAGATGATTAAGACACAACCCCTGCCCTCAGTAAGTGTGCAAACTAGTAGAAGGAAGTGAGTATTTTAACCAAAAAGTCCCACAAATTTTTGCATATAGGTGGCACCATTAGATGTTATACAGGATAAGGTAGGCCAACGAGCACACGTGATACATTTTGGCAGTGGAGGGGAGTACTGCGTCCTGTAATCCAAGTTTCCAGTGTGGATACTCACTCAAAGGCTAAGTAGGTTACCAGAGTAACTGACAGAAAAATTGATGAAAGCCCACAACCAATGTATGTGATAAACGTCAGAGCCATCATCTGAGAAGGTGGCAAGGATGTTCGAGATAGGTCCTGGAAAATAAAATACTGCTTTCAAGACCAAATATTTTAAAGAAATAAAAGAGCTATGGTTTACATTTATTGAGTGTTCTAAGCGCCTATCCATAGTTCATTCAACAAACCTACAAGGTAGACACAATTATTATCATCAAGTAAAAATAATGAAACCGAGGCCCAGAGAGGTTAAATAATTTGCCCAAGGTCACACAAGTATGAAATGGAGGAGCTGAGACCCAAATTCTGGTCTGGCTGCCTCCAAAGCCCGTGTACGTGATCAGTACAGATGGTTTCATTCTGCTTCCGGTCTTTAACAGAGCAGCCATCCGATGACCACCCTCCTCTGCCACCTGTTGGTATTGGGAAGAGTATCTGTCCCATCAGCAAGGCCGTGGCATTACGATACACTGGAAAAGCACTGGGCTAGGAGCCTAAAGACCTGAATTTGGCTTCAGGCCCTTATACTTCTTAGTTCTAGGACTGTGGACAATGGCCTAACAAATGAGTCTTAATTCTAAGTTCTTAAAATGACAGTAACAACACCCCATTCCACCTATCTTGTAGGACTGTTGGAGAAATTAAACATAATAACTTATGACAGAGCATTTTATGAAAACTTTAAAGTGCGGGGCGCCTGGGTGGCTCAGTTGGTTGGGCAACTGCCTTCGGCTCAGGTCATGATCCTGGAGTCCTGGGATGGAGTCCTGGGATCGAGTCCCGCATCGGCTCCCTGCTCAGCAGGGGTCTGCTTCTCCCTCTGCCCCTCCCCCACCTCCTACTCATTCTGTTTCTCTCTCTCAAATAAATAAAATCTTAAAAAAAAAGAGAGAAGATTTTAAAGGGCAATGCAAACTGGACAATTTTTCTTACCCATTTTAATCTGAATTCCCTAGGCCCTGCTATTTAAAAGAGGGAAACTTACATATAAAAATAGACTGGGGGGGGGAACTTCCATGTTCAAGTATTCCAAGTGCATTTGCTCTTTGGAAGAGTAATTTCATTGGTCTATAACTTTGCCACAATATCCTACCTGCTGATCAAAGTCATCTATCATATTAGACATCATGGTGTGACGCCCAGCTACCCCTCAGACCCAGAATCTAAAACCATGTAGCGTGGGGTTATTACCAGTAGGACGCCAAAGCTCGTAAGGTGGCTGCACGTACAGATGGTTTCATTCTGCTTCCTGTCTTTAACAGAGCAGCCATCCGATGACCAGCCTCCTCTGCCACCTGTTGGTATTGGGAAAAGTATCTGTCCCATCAGCAAGGCCGTGGTCTCAATGATTGCCACTTCCTCCCCTGTCCCCGCCCCCGCCCACTCAAGACTGAAAAAGGTACGACTGGAACCTACCATTTCTGCCCAAGTCCCAAAATACACATCTCGCGATTAAGTCATCCTGCAGTGGAAAGGTAAGTGGCAAATAATCAATTTACGGAACTGAAAAAACTAAAAAGCAATTGAAAAAAAATATATGAAATTTTTTATCTCAGAATCTCATTCTTGATATTTGGAGAATTCTTATTTTATTCTAGTCCCTAGAAGCAAGTGAGTCTCATGTAGGTCAGCACTTCTTAGACTTAGCAGTTGTGCATAGGAATGACCTTGAGGCCTTGCTAAAACACACATTCTGATTCCAGGGGTCAGTGTGGGGCCTCAAAGTGGGCATTTCTCGCAAGATCCCAGGTGACGCTGAAGGTACAGGTCTGCAGACCAGACTTTGAGTAGTATGGTCATAGATAATGCTCAACCTGAACCGAAATGAGAGATGTTTTCTCTTTGGGGGTGAGAATCAGACCTGTAGCCACAGATCTAGATGCACTAAAACCGGGCAATTGATAGTAGCTGGCTTTTGCGCTGCACCTTCTTGGAAATGAAGTGGTCAGTGCTTAGGCATGCTAAAACCCAACAGAGTGACCCTATGATCCTAGCCTCACACACTGCCTTAACCGAGTTTGAGGTTCTGCTGGATCTCCTTCTTTCAGGTCAAGTCCGACAGACGTGGTTTGCGCAAGCGTATCTGGTCCATGAAGAGACCAGACAGGCCTCTCGCACCTGGCTCGGCTTGATGTGCTTTAAGGTAACTGTCACGTTTCTTGTCAAGTTCTTGACGGTCAGATTTGCCACACTGGACGATATGACGTAGCTGATCAGAGAGAGGTTCTCCAGGGCAGGGTCCTAGCACACCAAAAAATCAACAAGATGGATTTTAGAGCTGAACGGGACCCTAAAGAACAGTAAGTCCACACTGGTGATTTTATAATCTAGGGGAGAAATTGAGGGTCAGGGATTGAAGTGACCTTCCCAAGGACGATTAGAAACAGAGCCTGCTCCACTATACCTAAGCACTCTAACTACTGACTGAAATTTCACAGACTGACACAACATGGCCCTCAGGAACTGCAAAGGGAATAGCTCATGAAGCCGCTTAAACTGTTGTGTTCTTGAGCAAGTTAACCTCTCTGCACCTCCTTGCCCTCATCTGTAAATTTGGGATCATAGTTGAATAGTTCCTCCCTCACAAGGTTGTTGAGAGGATTAAAGTTAACATTTCTAAGTGCTTAGTAGCATGCTCAGCAATTGGTAAATTCTATATATAAATGTCAGTTATGGTAATTTATCATTACCAGTATCCCTAGTTCCTGTTTAAAAATAAACTGGAGGGGCACCTGGGTGCAGGTGGTTAAACATCTGACTGTTGGTTTCTGGTCAGGTCATGATCTCAGAGTCGTGAGATCGAGCCCTGAGTCGGACTCTGTGCTCAGCGGGGAGTCTGCTTAGTTTCTCTCTCCCTTCCCCTCTGCCCCTCCCCACTGCGTGTGCTCTCTCTCTCTCTCCCTCTCAAATAAATAAATAAATCTTTAAAATAAATGAATAAGGGCGCCTGGGTGGCTCAGTCGTTAAGCGTCTGCCTTCGGCTCAGGTCATGATCCTGGGGTCCTGGGATCGAGTCCCACATTGGGCTCCCTGCTCGGCAGGAAGCCTGCCTCTCCCTCTCCCACTCCCCCTGCTTGTGTTCCTGCTCTAGCTATCTCTCTCTCTGTCAAATAAATAAATAAAATCTTTAAAAAAATAAAAAAATAAAAAATAAATTTTAAAAAAAAGAATAAAAACAAACTGCAAAAAAAATAATAAATAAATAAACCAAAATAAACTGCAGCTTTCATGGGAGAATTAAAAGAAACGAAACTGCCTCACTCCAAAACAAAACCTAAACCCAAAGCAGTTAGCATTAACCTTACCTGAAACAGGGCAGGTGTTTCAAAGAAGTTGAACTGAACCCTGGAAGCGAGCTCCACATCATTAGCTGGTAAATTACTCATCAGTGATGAAGGCAGAGTAATAACACCAATACTGGTCTCAGGAGCCTGCGTTTCCAGAGAAACCTGAAAATCAAGTAAAATATAATAAAAAATGCCTGGGGTTAGTATAATGAAGAGATGGAAAACACAAGAACTAATTAAGATGGAGGATCCTGTAAAGGCATTTATTTCTGGTAACTTCTGTCAAATCGGTTGTTCTTGTTTCTCTGATCGCTATGAAATTGGAGAGGATGTGTAATAGATAGACAAGGCCTCAGAGCAGGAAAGGGAACATTTTAAAGATACACAGGAACCATCAGAAAGTGTAGGATGCTGTATGTCAATTACAGCTCAACAAAACTGGGAGCAGGGAGTGCAGAAAGGGTAACTGCAGACATACCAACTCGGCCACCTGTTAGGGCAAAGTCTTCATAAAACCACACGCACTAAACTTGTAAAGGGAAGAGTATACAAATTAAATTAAAAGGCAAGACTTGGTCTGACGTGGGTATTTCCAGCCCCTAATCCCTCTAATAGGTGGATAGAAAACACTGGAAGTGCAGTCAAAACACTTGTTTAAAGTACTGAAATAACTTGATAAGTAGCTGATGTCCCTGCTCTCTTGCAACTGCCTAGAACCCTCCACGGGACACTTCTCCCCACCTGAGTCCCCCACTTCCCCACAAAACTTCCATTTAGCTGCTAGAGGGTTAACACTGGGCATGAGGATCACTCAGATCCTGCTCCAGCCAAGACCAAAGTCCTGTTTCTGATTGTGTGGTGCCTCACTGTTCTAGATGTTAAATATTTTTAGTATCACCCCTGATTAGAAGCAGTAATTGCCTCCATCATGAAGTCCATGGAGACTACAGTCATAGATAAGAAAAGGTTTTTTCCACAATAGATTAGGATGTACCTGAAGATGTGCAGGGTCTTGGGCAGCAAAGGTAGTTGTGTCGAAATTACTAGCATTCACTCTGATCACGGCCAGAGCCAAAGAAGGGGAGGTTAGAGTTATGGTCTTAGTTGAAAAATTCAGCTGTAAGCCAATGTCATCCACTATTTTTAGCAATCTGTAACGACAAGTGGTAGTTCAAATTCAGCACTCCCGCTTTGTCTTCCCCATTCGAAGCAGAATATGCAGTAGCAATTTAACAAGTCATTATGAACCTCTTATGTGGGAGAAAAATACTTGGCTGTAATTAATCCCGATAAGAAGTCTCATTCTCTTAGAGGGTCCCCTCTCCTGACCACATTAGTTTGCTAAGTCATACCTTTGGGCCAGAGGAGCCAGCAAGGCAGGTGGGGAATGAAGGAGTTTGCTGACATGGTTTATCATTTCTCCCGCGAGGTTAGGCTCCAAACTGCCCAAGGACAGAGTCTTTTCCATCTGGGACACTTGGTCCTCAAGATCAGAATCACTGATGCTGCTGGTATAAACAACTTCTGTAACAGAGAGCCAAATCATTTTATGAACACATAATGGAAAAATCACTAATAAAGAAACACACATAGACTCTATGACCTGGCGAACCTACTCCTAGGTATTTGCCCCAGGGAAATAAAAACATGTCTCGAAACTTGTTCATGAATGTTTATAGAGGCTTTTCATTATACCCCAAACTGGAAACAACCCAAATGTCTATCAACTGAAGAATGGATAAACAAACTGATCCCTCTGTGCAATAGATTATTATTCAGTAATTAAAAGGTAGGAGCCACTGATAATTGCAACAACATGGATGGATCTCCAATTCTCCAATATATTATGTTAACTGAAAGAAGCCAGACTCAAAAGGCTGCATACTGGGGCGCCTGGGTGGCTCAGTTGGTTAAGTGACTGCCTTCGGCTCAGGTCATGATCCTGGAGTCCCGGGATCGAGTCCCGCATCGGGCTCCCTGCTCGGCGGGGAGTCTGCTTCTCCCTCTGACCCTCCCCCCTCTCATGTGCTCTCTCATTCTCTCTCTCAAATAAATAAATAAAATCTTAAAAAAAAAAAAAGGCTGCATACTGTATGATTCTCTTCATATGACATTTTAGAAAAATCAAAAGTATAGGAAAACAAAACAGATCAATCAGTGGTGGCCAGGGGCTGGGGGTAGTGGATAGGAACGGACTACAAAGGAACACGAAGGAAATTTGGGGGTGGTGAAAATGTTATATATTGTGATGGTGGTTATGTGGCTATGGGTGTTTAATCCAACCTCATGGAACTATAAAAATTTCATCTATCCACAGATCTGGATGAATTTTAACGTATGTAAATTATACTTCAAGAAACCCAACTGGGGTGTCTGGCTGGCACAGTCTAAAAGAGCACGTGACTCTTGATCTCAGGGTCATGAGTTGAAACCCCACATTTGGTGTAGAGATTATGTAAAAATAAAATCTTAACAAAAATAAAAGAAACTTGGGTGCCTGGGTGGCTCAGTTGGTTGAGCAACTGCCTTCGGCTCAGGTCATGATCCCAGAGTTCTGGGATCGAGTCCCACATCGGGCTCCCGGCTCAGCAGGGAGCCTGCTTCTCCCTCTGACCCTATCCCCTCTCATGCTGTTTCTCTCTCTCTCTCTCTCTCTCTCTCTCTCAAATAAATAAATAAATAAAATCTTTAAAAAAATAAAAAATAAAAAAAAAAATAAAAGAAACCTAACTGAAAAAAAAAAGTAAAAGCACATCAGTGTAGTTAGTGTATATTTGTATAAGTATAAATATACTTGTATCTAATTTATATCGTGTGTACAGGACTTTACATGGGTAACAAGAAATTCTTTTTGTGAAAAAGAGAATATTATGAAATTAATAGCTAGATGGCCAGCTGTAAACTGGTTTTCAATAGTGTTTTTAATTGGAAAACAATGATACAAACCTGTCTAGCAATGAAAAAGTCTCTTAATTCCACCACTAAACATCCTATTTTTTATTTTGCATATTCCCTTCTAATCTCCATCCATGTTGGTGTCACATACTGTTATAAACACAGTGTACAAACTATTTATTGTTGTGTTATTTTCTTTTCACTCAAGACTTGAAAGATGCCCCTGAGTTTCATCTAGCTGTTCTTAATGCAGGGCTGCAAACAGTCATCATGCTGAGGTGGCTTAGTGTATTTCATTACTCTTCTGTTGTGGAACTGTTAGGTTGTATCTACTTTTTCACTACCAGGTAATACTCTGACACAGCTTTTATATGTATGTCGTTTTGCTCCTGTTGTCTCATTGGCTGAAACTGGAGTCCCAGAAATGGAAGCACAGACGCAGGGGGATATGTTGCTAGCCTTTCTGGGGAGCCTGTGAGGTTGATTCTAATGGTCAATGGGGATAGCTCTGCAAAGGTGGGTGTTTTAGGCCCAGGCTAACTAACTTCAATTTTACTTTATTCTTCATCAGCCATTGAACCTTCTCGAAACTAAGACCCCAATGGTTTTATAATGTGGTCTAAAATGTCCATATATATAAAAAAAATGAGAGAGCAGTGCAAATTCAAAGAAATATCAAGTCATGGGGCTCCTGGGTGGCTCAGTAGGTTAAATGTCTGCCTTCGGCTCAGGTCATGATCTCAGGGTCCCGGGATCAAGCCCCACATCGTGCTCCTTGCTCAGTGGGGAGTCTGCTTCTCCCTCTCCCTCTGCCGCTCCCCCTGCTTGTGCTCTCTCTCACTCTCTCTCTCTAATAAATAAATAAAATCTTAAAAAAAAAAAGAAAAGAAAAAAATATCAAGTCATTTGGCAGCCGCTCCCAATCTCCTGGGGATGCTTGCACTGTGGGGGAGAAGGTGGAGATCACAACATGAGCTCCAATCTCATGTCACCAAGAACTTGGTTTTGCCTCCCACTCCCCCCAAATTTAAAGGAAGGTCTGCTTCTTACTCACTGAATTCAACCTTCAAAGCATCCAGAATTCTCTCTTGCATCTTCCGCTCTTGTCTTTATCTCTTTACCCCTAAGCCTACTTTGTGTGTGGGGAGCCCTCTGCAGGTTCCAGGGCATTCTTCTGTAACCATCATTCCAAACCCAGTGCAGCTAGTGTGATTATTTCCATCTTAAAGTCGTGTAGGCTAAAGTCAGCTAAATGGCTTATCCCAGATCACACTGCGGGTGAGGACACCTGCAGACCCACACGTAGGTCTTCTGAACATGTCTCCCCTCCTCAAGGCAACCTTAGCTCAGTCCCACCTCTGTCACTCTGTAACTGACTTGTTTTCAAGAAAGCTAAATTTTTCTCTTGTCATCTTTCTAAATGGAATTACTGTGTTTAACAGTACAGAAGTTTCCTTGGGGCGCCTGGGTGGCTCAGTCGGTTAAGTGTCCGACTCTTGGTTTCGGCTCAGGTCATGATCTCAGGGTGGTGGGATCGAGCCCCGCTTCGGGCTCCGCGCTCAGCGGGGAATCTGAGATTTTTTCACCCTCTCCCTCTGTCCCTCTCCCCACCACTCTCTCTCTCTCCCTCTCTCTAAAATAAATAAATAAATCTTTCTTTTTTTTTTTTTTAAGTTCAACAGTGAGCGCCTGGGTGGCTCATTTGTTAAGCGTCTGCCTTTGGCTCAGGTCATGATCCCAGGGTCCTGGGATCGAGCCCTGCATTGGGCTCCCTGCTCGGAGGGAAGCCTGCTTCTCCTTCTCCTTCTCACACTCCCCCTGCTTGTGTTCCCTCTCTGGTTGTGGCTCTCTCTGTCAAATAAATAAATAAAATCTTAAAAAAAAAAAAAGTTCAACAGTTTCCTCTTCAGAATGTTGAAAACAGTGACCTAATAACCTTTTGTGGGAGAAAGAAACCTGTAAAATAACTCATCTTGATAAAATGAGATATGTTTGCCTCAGAGCTATTTCTCCACTCTCTTGGTCAAAACAATCAAACTCAGCCACATCTATGTTCTACGAATCTCTGGAGGAAAGCTCTCGAAATCAAGCAGGTATCATAAAAAGAAAGGTTCAACATGGCCTTGTTACAGATATCTTGACTTGGCAGGCAAACCCCTGCGATTCAGGAAGCCAGATTCTAACAAACAGCGGCAGCGGGACTCCTCATATTTACCTGTCTTGTCAGGAGGTGTGCTGGTCGTGATGACATTCACAGGGGCAGACGCGGTGGGAGAGGAAAGTGAGGATTTCACAGTTGGCAGTGTGTGGGAAAGATCAGTTTGGGGCATAGGGGAAAAGATAGTTCCAGAACTGGGGGGCATATCAATGGCAGAGCTGGAAGCTAGGGGAGCTGAAGGCTGGGGAGAAGGAAGGTAAATCCCTCGTGTTGGAGAGGCAGGGCTCTGGGTTACAGGTGGATGATTTAGAGGTTCAGCAAAAGAGAAGGCACTGGAGACCTGGGACAGAATGGTGGCCCGAGGAACAACTGGGATGGAATTGCTAGAAGAAAATGGTGAGCCATCTGGATGACCAGCAAGACATACAACAGGATCCTGCAGGTCACTAAAGGAAAGAATCAGAGAGATGCACGTGAGACACAAGTAAGTGATAGAGAGGCTCACCTCCTCTAGCAACCACCCGACACCACCAAGGTGACTTGGCTCCACCAGGGACCTGCTACTCCCAGCCTCTGCCCTGCACACCTGCCGTGCCCTTGCCACTGGCCCCCTGCCCCTGCCCACTTCCACCACTTCTTCCCTGGGAGAGGAATTAGCCAGGAGGGATGCTCTTTTATGAACTGCCAGTTCCAGGTCACTCACTCACCACTACTCTCAGGCTCTTGTGCTTTATTACTTATCACTCAGTTGAAGAGATCTTGTAACACTTCTATGTGTTTCTGGTGGTGGGGGGGAGCTGTTACATGCTGTTACCCACCTAGCTGGTTTTCATATATTAGGAATCTGTCTCACATTTTTTTTTTAGGTTTTACAAAATGTATTCTCAAAAAAGTATAATCACACGCCCAAACTGTTCCTAACATACTATAAAGTGTTCTAAATACTGGGTGCCTGGGTGGCTCAGTTGGTTAAACGTCTACCTTCAGCTCAGTTCATGATCCCAGGGTCCTGGGATCGAGCCCCACATTGGGTTCCCTGCTCAGCGGGGAGCCTGCTTCTCCCTCTCCCTCTGCTGCTCCCCCTGCTTGTGCTCTCTATCAAATAAATAAAATCGTTAAAAAAAATTCTTCTAAAAACTTAAATACCAAAATATCATTTTCCTTGAATATTCGAATCTGCATTAAAAAACTGGCTCATCATTTTTAGAACAATTGATTTTACTTTGAAGCAAAAGCATATCCATTTCAAAACTGTATCTGTCCATAACAGATTCACAAACTCTTTTTTTTCCCAAGATTTTATTTATTCATTTGACAGAGAGAGAGACAGCGAGAGAGGGAACACAGGCAGGGAGAGTGAGAGAGGGAGAAGCAGGCTTCCCGCTGAGCAGGGAGCCCGATGTGGGGCTCGATCCCAGGACCCTGGGATCATGACCTGAGCCGAAGGCAGATGCTTAACCGACTGAGCCACCCGGGCACCCCAGATTCACAAACTCTTATGTCAACTCAGTATTAACATGGGGTACAAAAGGGTATGGCATAAATTGAAAAGCAGCTCTAAATTTATCAATAATCATAAAATGTTCTTCAGATTTTTCCTGTAGTATTTGCAAAGTACATAATTCTGTCAATTACATTTACAATCTTCTGTGTATTGATCCATATTAGAAAAATGTGCAAAAATCATTATTATTGATTTGGATAATGGAATTTTTTATTTCAGCAAATTCTCATACTGGTCTTCGTGAGTCACAAGTAAGCCTTTCTTTTCCATGAAACCTCAAATTTAGCTCACTCACATGCAGTGTGATATTGGCTGGAATAGGTAAATCGCACTGCCTTTTTTTTTTTTCTTTGACTTACTGAATTTTGTTTCAAGAAAATCTTGAACTGAAGTTAATAATACTAAATTTTTGTGAAACTGATGAACATAGGAATCTGAGTCAATTTTATACCACTATAGCACAGCATGATGCTAACTGGCACCTAGTGACTGGAAATGTTCGTTGACTGAAAAAATAAATTAAGCTGGGGCCATAGGGGCCCCCAGTTTGTAAATCAGCTACACCCTCAGTATTGCTTTAGCCCAGTGGTTCTCAACCTAGGCCGTGCATGAGAAAACCCAGAGGACTTTTAAAAAATATACAGAGTTTTTTGTGGCCTACTCCTCAGCATCTGTTTCAGTTGGTCTTGGTGCAGGGGTGAGGCCCCCAGGCCCATATATTTTCATGGCATGCAAGGTTGAGAAGAACTCATCTACTATCAAGATCCACCAGTCTTGGGGTGGGGGGGGTAAGAGTAACCAGAGGGGGCAACAAACTATTACCTAGGGAAACCTCTGATGGATCCAGTTTTAGATGGTGACTTAAGAGCACCAACTAGAATGTGTCTTTATTGCTTCTCTGGGGTGAGAGGAGGCAGGAATATTAGGTTGAGGAACCCGAGGCAGGTCATACCCATAAAAAGAAATGCTGCCTCAGTCTAATCTGGTCAGACACCCGCCGGAGGCTTGTCTACACAGCCTGGGGTTCAGGGTGGCAGTGTGGACGAAGGGGCGCCAGACAGTCGGAAAAGTGATGAGTCGAGAAGCCCTGGCTGAGGCTCCAGCTCTCAGTAGTCTTCCAGGCAATCCACCCAGTTCTCCGAGACTCCGTTCTCTGAACTGTGTACGGCAGCAATCCGTCGGGCCGAGTCACAGCAGAGGTGCTTTGCAAAGTCTGAATTAAATTTCCTTCTTAGATCTGGGGGAAGAGGCTACCCTCTCTCGGATACTCTTGGCACTTCTGCTACTCAGAGCCCTCCATCCGCCAGGAGAGGCACGCCGAGGGGCAGAGCGGTGGCGGGCAATGCCAGCTCTACATGAGAAACCTCCGAGCGCTGCACACCAGTGCAGGGGCTCCCATCCCAGGCCCACTCAAGTGGACTCTCTGGGGTGGCTGCAGGCATCCGTATCTGTTTTAATATGCTTCTTCACTGAGCAGCCTCCATACGGTAGACTGTACTAATCTTCCATTTAGAGCTTGAAGAACTTTTATACGTGGATACACCTATATCATCACCACCCAGATCCTAAGAGATTATTTCCAGCACCCAAGGCCACTTTGACACATCAGGTTTTAAAAGCGCCCGAAGTGGGCACCTGGGTGGCTCAGTCGGTTAAGCGTCTGCCGTACACTCAGGTCATGATCTTGGGATCCTGGGATCGAGCCCCGCATCGGGCTCCCTGCTCAGAGGGGAGCCTGCTTCTCCCTCTCCCTCTGCTCCTCCTCCCCTCCCCCCCGATTCATGCTCTCTCTCTCAAATAAATTAATAAAATCTTTTTAAAAAGTTAAAAATAGGACACCTGGGTGGCTCGGTCAGTTAAGCATCTGCCTTTGGCTCCGGTCATGACCTCAGGGTTGTGAGATCAAGCCCCACGTCAGGCTCTGTGTTCAGTGGGGAGTCTGCTTCTCCCACTCCCCTCTCCCTCTACTCATGCTCTCACTCTCTCACAAATAAAATCTTAAAAAAAAAAAAGGGGGGGCGCCTGGGTGGCTCAGTTGGTTAAGCGACTGCCTTCGGCTCAGGTCACGATCCTGGAGTCCCGGGATCGAGTCCCTCATCGGGCTCCCTGCTCCGCAGGCAGTCTGCTTCTCCCTCTGACCCTCCTCCCTCTCATGCTCTCTCTATTTCATTCTCTCTCTCAAATAAATAAATAAAATCTTTAAAAAAAAAAAAAAAAAGAATCACCCCACCCAGGAATCCTGAAAAATCCAGAAGCCTGGACTGCACCCCACACCAATGACATCACCATTTCTGAGGGTGGGAGGCAGGTATGGGTGTTTTTAAAACTCCCCAGATGATTCCAATGTGCATCCAGGGTTGAGAACCACTGCTCTGTGGACCAGACCCCACTGCGCAAAGTGAGGTCCATGAACGAGGAGCACTGGCTTCACCTGGTAGAAAGGCAGCAGCTCAGGTCTTTCCCAGACCTCCTGGATCAGAATTTTAACCAGACCCTGTGTGGCTGATATGCACAGTAATGCCTGAGAAGTGCTGATAGGGCTCACTTCCTATTTTACAGAGGAGGAACCTGAGGCTTATTTCTATTGATAAAGAATCAACAGCTGGATACACAGCTAGCTGATGACAGAGCCCGAGCCAGACAATGAGCTCATATTCTGCCCGCTTTTCTGTGTCCCGCCACTTCGTCCTCACAGCTCTTTGAATGGGCAGGCAGCAGAGGTCTGTGGGGCTGCCTCACAAGAGCTATGATCTCTTCATCTGCTCCTGGTACTTCTAGAAATTCTCTCTCTCAAATGGGCCTCAACCCTTCAGCTTAATGGAGCATGTTGAGCTTAAAACTTATTCTTCACTTTTTATTACAGAAAATGCTATAAATCCTAAACTAAAGTCCTTTAGCTATTCCTCGAGGTCCAATGTTTTAATATATCCCAGAAATACAGCCCACACAGGGCAGACAGGCTACAGCTAGCCTTTTGTTCCCATATGAGAAGCTTTACATTGAAAAATGTATGTCCTGGGGCGCCTGGGTGGCTCAGTCATTAGGCGTCTGCCTTCGGCTAAGGTCTTGGTCCCAGGGTCTTGGAATCGAGCCCCGCATCAGGCTCCCTGCTCAGCGGGAAGCCTGCTTCTCCCTCTTCCGCTCCCCCTGCTTGTGTTCCCTCTCTCGCTGTGTCTCTCTCTGTCAAATTAATAAATAAAATCTTGAAAAAAAAATGTATGTCCTTTTGTTCAAATACAAATTTTATCTGATTGTAATAAAGTATTGAAAATGCTGCAAAGAAAAAAAAAAGGAATAGTAAACAAAATATCACCTATGCCCCGTGAGTATTTTCCTTCATTCATTCACTTCCTAGTTTTTTCTATGTATATTTGTATACACCTGTGATCACGTCATCCATGACTTTGGGATCATCTGCCTCCCAGCTTCCCTCCATTTTGGTGCTGAGTTTAAGGCAGTCATTCTCAACATTGGTTGCACATTAGAATCGCCAAGAGGGCTTTTAAAACCCTTAATGCCTAGGCTGTGTTCCAGACCAATTAAATCAGAATCACTGAGGGTGGGAGACTGGAAATCAAGATTCTCAAAAAATTCTTCAATGGAATTAATTTTAGGCTTACAGAAACCCTGCAAAAATAACACAGAGTTCCCTATATCCCTCACTCAGCTTCCCTCAATGTTAGCATCTAATGTCTGGAATTGGGACCAAATAGCTATCAACATTTAACATATTCCAAAGATGGCTTCTCAAATCACTGAGGAAAAGATAGACTTTTTAATAAATGGTGTGGAACCCCTGGCTAGACATTTTTGAAAAGTTTGAATTAGATCCATACCTTGCCCCACACACAAGAATAAATTCCAAGTGGATTTAATGTAAAAAAAAAAAAAAAAAGAAAGAAACCATATAATTACTAGAAAAACTCAAGGATGAATTCCCCTATAACCTGGGCATAGGAAAAGGCTTTCTAGCTAAGACTTCAAATCCACAGGCAATAAAAGAAAAGACTGGCAAATTTAACTACAATTTTTTTAAAAGATTTTATTTATTTATTTGAGAGAGAGTGTGTGTGCGCGCGCATCCTCATGCATGGGGGGGGGCGGGGGGCAGAGGGAGAGGCAGACTCCCTGCTGAGCAAGGAGCCTGGGCCTGCGGGGCTGGATTCCAGGATCCCAAGATCATGGCCTGAATGGAAGGCAGACGCTTAACCGACTGAGCCACCAGGCGCCCCTTTACTACATTTTTTAAAAAATTTAATTTGCATGACAAAAACACGAAGTCAAAAGATAACTGACAAACTGGGAGAAAATATTTGCAACATATACCGCAAAGGGTTAATACCCCACTATATAAAGGACTCTTAAAAACTGATCAGGTGATCAGGGGTGCCTGGGTGATGCAGTGGGTTAAGCATTCAACTCTTGATTTCGGCTCAGGTCATGTTCTCAGGGTCTTGAGATGGAGTCCTGCGTTGGGCTCTGTGCTCAGCAGGGAATCTGCTGGAGATTCTCCCTCTGCTCCTCTCCCTGCTCTCTCTTGAATAAATAAATAAAATCTTTTTTTTTTTTTAAGATTTTATTTCTTTATTTGACAGAGAGAGAAACAGCAAGAGAGGGAACACAAGCAGGGGGAGTAGGAGAGGGAGAAGCAGGCTTCCTGCTGAGCGGGGAGCCCGATGTGGGGCTCGATCCCAGGATCCTGGGACCATGACCTGAGCCGAAGGCAGACACTTAACGATTGAGCCACCCAGGCACCCCAAATAAATAAAATCTTAAAAAAAAACTGATCAGGGGCACCTGGGTGGCTCAGTCGGTTAAGCCTTTACCTTCGGCTCAGGTCATGACCTCGGGGTCCTGGAATCGAGCCCCACATTGGGCTCCCCACTCCACAGGAAGCCTGCTTCTCCCTCTCCCTCTGCCAGCCACTCTACCTACTTGTGTGCACATGCGCTCTCTCTAATAAATAAAATCTTAAAAAAAAAAAAGATCAGATATCCAGTAGAAAAAGTGGGAAAGACATGAACGCACAATTAACAAGAAAAATACAAAAATGACCCCCAAATACATGAAAAATTGTTCAAACAGACCTCAGAAGTGCAAATTAAAATACCACTGAGATACTCTTTCTCAACTACCACACTGGAAAAATTAAAAAATATGATGACATTCAGTTGGTGAGGCAGGGGCAGGGGTGGAGGGGAAGAGGGCCAGAATATTTCTAATACTCCCCAGGTGATTTTGATATGCAACCAAGACTGCAAACCATTATTTCAAAGTAATGGTCCACATGGAAACTTGATACAACAGAAAACTGCATTTCCTCTAAAATTGAAAGCCCTTCTTCACTGTCAAAATTCCAAAATTCCTTAGCCAGCATGGTGATTAAATATTATTATTATTATTATTATCATCATTATTGCTTTTAGGAAAAATGTCAGCCTGGATGCTACATACCACTGCAGTTTTCCTAACTCTTCCGGGGAGGAAGGGCATGGTATCCTGACAGAACAGCAGCACCGTTCTGGAGACAACAGTAAAAGAAAGAAGAAAATACATGGTCAAGAATAAGGCAAGGCAGAAGCTCAGATCCATCGAGTATTATGGTTCCTACACTGGATGCATTTTAAAAAGCATCTGTCTAAAATAGGTGATAAAATAAAACTGGATACTATTATATTGACAATCATACATACATAATAGGTGCTCAGAAATATTTATTGAGTGAATAATTTGGGGGAAGTTATATGCATGCAATATCAATTGCTCTTCAACAGCTCCTAAGAATTCCGAAGTAAGTACATTCCGCAGCAATGGATCAAACACTCCATATAGAAGTCCCCCTCTCTCAGTAGGTTTTTTTCCTATCTTGTTTTCAAATACAGTATACTGAAACTTTATTGAGAAAGTGGGGGGAAAAAATCACATTTTAGAGCTCTCTAAAAGCTGTCCAAGAGTCAAAACAGAAAGCTATCACATACTTAAATTTATTGATTATATTTTCAGTTTTAAAAAGAACACATCAAAGTCATGTGAAAAAGAACACAGCAGTGAAGATAGAGACAACTTACCCATCGGTTGAATCTTTACTCTTCTCAAAGCAACCATTGCAGCACATATGTTCATTGTTTTATTCATTTTTATTGTGAATGTACAATTTAATGTGCTGTAAAGAGAAATATATATAACCAGAATGTTACTAAACTGGAAACCTACCTACATATTTGTAAATGCTTTTTCAAACTTGGGAGTGAGGAAAGGAGACACTGATGCTGTGAGCTTGGAGGGACAGCCCAATAAGCTTGTGACCACCCACGACTTTCAACCATGAGACATTTATAGAGGTTTATAGTCGCAGAGGTTGCAAACCAGAGACCCTGTGACCACACACAACTGCTGATTCATTTTGCCTGCGGGAACTATGAACTGGCGGGGGTGCAACTTGTTTGCAAAGACAAGCATCTTAACATCGAGAGTCTTACCCGCAGCTGGCTAATAGCCTGGTGTCTGTAGGCATTCGAATTTCCACCATGGCAGCCCTGTCACCTACCAGCCTGGATGAACATCGAGGTCTCTTAAATCCAAAACCCCTCTGGCAATTCCATCTAGATTATCAGGTAATTAGCAATTTAAGACATTATCGCTTATTATTATTATTATTATTTTTTACTTTAGTCTTGATTTACGTGAAAAAATATTAATGTTGCAAATAACCAAAAGTGGTTAAGTGAAATGAACTAAATATATATAGTGGATAGGGATTCAATCTACAATTTCATGAAGAATTGCCAGTATTTGTACCAATGAATAGCCTGATGAGCAGAAACCATCATTTTCTAGGACTTGTACTCTCTCAGAATGCTCAGGATTCAGGTGACGAGATTACTGACCTATGTAAGTCGTTCGCTTATGCAGCCAAGACAGCTGATGGACACAATTTAAAATGATCATCTGTGCAACCTCAAATAACTGTTGGGCAATCTCTGATGCACCCCTGCACACTTTTTAATTTCTTCTTTTCTCTTTCTTTCCCATCTTTTCCTCCCCTCTCTCCTTCTCCCAAGCACCATATTATGTTCCTTCTTCTCTGTCTGGCCTTCACTAGACTGGACCACTGGGAGCCATTTCTTGGTTATATTGGTGGCCTTTGGGGCTAAGGACACTGATAGTCCTTACCGTCACCGCACCAGAGGCAAATGGCCCAGTCCCACCCACCCATCTGTGATTCACAAAGAAACGGGAAGAGAGACGTGGCAGAGGGATGCATGTTTCAGAGGATAAAAACATATATCCAAAATGTCATGAATATGTATTTATTTTAGAGGAACACATTGGAATTTGCAACCTAAGACCCCTCAATACTTTTTTTCTCATGAGTAACGAAATAATATGGATAAAAGTATTAAAAATGACTGACCTTTGGGCCTCTGCTGTAGCACACACGGTAAAATAAGTCTGAAACAAAAAATATATATATATAGGTTCCTTTGACAGTTGAGAATGTCAGACAAAACAACCTAGGACTTATCACAGCCTCATAGAATCTCAGAATCACAATAACCCCTAGGGATCATCCAATTCACATTGCTATCAGATTCCTGATGTATCATCAAGTATCATCAAAGCTACTCAGGCGGCGGGGGGGGGGGGGGGGGGGGGGGGGGCAGTCTCTGCTTGCATCCTGCTACTGTTGAGAACTCGCTACCACACAAGGGAGCTCATTCTGGAGCCCTCATTTTAAGAAATGTTTGGTTTTACATGAAGGAAAATCTATCCCCTTATAACAGCATTCCACTGTGATATCCAGTTCTGACTCTGGATCCATCCAGTTCTGACTTCTGGAGTAAAGGAACTAGTTTATTCAATCTTTTATATGACAGATTTGGGGAAGTTTGAATACATTTCTCCTCAGGAACACAGAACTCCACGCTTTCCCCCAAATAGAAACAGTAATGATAAACAAGGTATAGGATGTACTATGATTACCTCACTTAAGGTTTGCAGGGCTTTGTTTAGCTCTGATCGTCTGTTAATAAAACGAGAGAAATTGACATGAAGGAGATCACTGGTGATGTTAAATTCAAAACAAGTTAGATTTTTAGCAATTAAACTAAGCATATGGTATTTATTGCTTCCAGTGTTCACTTTGAAGAAACACTGGGCATACTAAGAGATTCCTATGTGAGAAAAATAAATTATTTATATGACAAGGGAAACTAACCAGACAGAAGCTCTATCAGTTCTAGCCAACAGCAAGATATAAATTATGGTTGAACAATCTTGTTACTCATTAGGCTCCTGCAACCCCCAGGCAGCTTCTTCTGGCAGAGGGCCCAAGGAAGAGCTGGCCCGAGGTGAAATTTCTGAGAGGAGTCCACCACTCGCCATGGGGGCCCTGCACCCCTGATTTCTCCCTCACTCCCTCTCCACCTGACCCCACCTGCCCTCTAGCACTCTCTAGCCCCCCTTCCCTTCCTCATCACTCCTCTTCCAGAATTTCCCTCATTCCTCTCCAATCCCACTCAAACAACACTTTTATTTCTTCAATGTGGAAGAGCTTCACGGGAAGTTAAGATAAAAGAAATCTAGTGAAAGTATTCACTCTAGGGGCGCCTGGGTGGCTCAGTAGATTAAGTGTCTGCCTTCAGCTAGGGTCATGATCTCAGACTCCTGGGATGGGCTGTGTCAGGCTCCCTGCTCAGTGGGGAGCCTGCTTCTCCCTCCCTCTGCCCCTCTCTCTCAAATAAATAAAATTTTAAAAAATAAAATAAAGAATTCACTCTAGGGCAATCGTTCTCAACTGGGGTGGGGGGATGGACTCTGTCCCCCAGGGGACATTGGGCAATATCTGGAGATGTTTTTGATTGTCACAATTGGGGGCTGGGTGTTACTGGCATCTAGTGGATAGAGGTCAGGGATCTGTTACACATCCTACAGTGCAAACACAGCCCTGCATAATAGAGAACTATCAGGTCCAAAATGTCAATAGTGCCGAGGCTGAGAAACCCAGCTCCAAGGGATGGGCAATAGTTCTAGGTGGTTCCAGGGAAGGTCTGGAGGAAAGAAGAGAAGGATTGTGGCAACAGTAAGTAGTCAGCTAGCTCTTCTAGCTGGCAGAAGCCGCTCCTTCTTAACTGTGCTCAGAGGTTACCTTTCTGGGGGTCTCCCTGGCCCCTGGGTTCAAGTCCAACCACTCTGCCTGCTCTATATTTAGATATGTAGAACATCCTTTGGAACCCTAAATATGTCACATTTATTGTAGGGATTCTACTGTATTGTTATTTGTTTGCATCCTAGGTCTATCCTACCAGACTCTACACTCCTGGTTCTAAAAACTGGCCTCATGCTAGAACCATCAGGGGGGCATTCAAAAATACCAATGTCTGTGTCCCAGCCCCCAAATACTGATCTAATTGTTACAGAGTGTGCCTGGACATCAGGATTTTTTTTTTTTAAAGATTTTATTTATTTATTTGAGAGAGAGAGAATGAGAGAGAGCAAGCACATGAGAGGGGGGAGGGTCAGAGGGAGAAGCAGACTCCCTGCTGAGCAGGGAGCCCGATGTGGGACTCGATCCAGGGACTCCAGGATCATGACCTGAGCCGAAGGCAGTCGCTTAACCAACTGAGCCACCCAGGCGCCCTGGACATCAGGATTTTTAAAAGCTCCCCAGGTGATTTTAATATGCAGCCAGGGTAGAGAACCATTGTTCTAGAGCCAGTTTTCCATCCTGAGAGTTGGGTTTATCCCCAAGGCCAAACACATAGTAGGTGCTCAACAAATGCTTCATGGCTGTAAATGAACTCCTCTATATTTCAAGTCTAGTAATTAAGATGAATTACAAGTATGTGAATTTCTGTTCTATTTATTAATTTGTGAGTTTAAAAAAATGTATCTTGGGGCGCCTGGGTGGCTCAGTCAGTTAAGTGTCTGCCTTCAGCTCAGGTCATGATCCCAGAGTCCCAGGATCGAGCCCTGCATCAGGCTTCCCGCTCAGCGGGGAGTCTGCTTCTCCCTCTGATCCCCCTCCTTCTCATGCTCTCTCTCTCTCTCTCTCAAATAAAATAAATAAAATCTTTTTTAAAAATTTTAAAAAATTAAAAAATGTATCTTATCAATATTGTTTCCCATCTAAAGTTTAAGATACTTCTAGGACACTGATATCTTCTGCTTTTTATTTCACACATATACTTTGAATAGCTGGGAAAGCTACATTTTTATCAGGAGTTCAAAAAATAGGCATAAAGGATAGAAATACTGCTCCTGTCCATCCCAGTTCTCATTAGTTTAACTGTTTGCTGCTACACACTCACTCAGGGGAGCCCTAGAGATGTTTGATATCCCCCAGGTGGAATCCTAAGGTTCCCCTCCACCTATGCATTGCTGACTCAGCAGAAGCAGCCAGGTCAAAATGCTAATTGAAAGGATGACCCTTAAGAAGAGTTTTGTTTTGTTTTGTTTTTAAAGATTTTATTTATTCGTCAGAGAGAGACAGAGAGACAGAGAGAGCACAAGCAGAGGGAGCGGCAGGCAGAGGGAGAAGCAGGCTCCCCGCTGAGCAGGGAGCCCGATGTGGGGCTCGATCCCAGGACCCTGGGATTATGACCTGAGCCGAGGGCAGACGCTTAACCGACTGAGCCACCCAGATGTCCCTTGTTTTGACCTAGGAAAGGTTTTTTTTCTTCAATGTCATCACAGATACTCCCCCCGGAGCTTTTGGATTTGGTTCAAAAGTTGATGAAAATCTCCTTTGAGGGGTAGTAGCAAGATTGAGAGTAGATGGATTTTATCTCTGATGCTGCTTCCTTGCAGGAGGATGAAGACGTGACGTTTCCCCTCCCGGTGACACTCAGGTAAGACTAACTCCGGGCCTAGCCTGACATTTTGGCCTTGTGTCTGACTGGGAGCATCTATATTTGTAATGTATTTCTCATTGTCCATGCTTGTCCCTGGAAGCTGGTACCTACTTCACAAAGACTTCTCTCTGACTTTTGAACGACCGATGCTTCATGAAAGCATGAACAAATGGAATACATGGCATCCCACCTTGAACTCTTCTTCCAACCTTTCTGGCTACCAAATCGTACTAAAGCTCAAATACCAATTCAAACTGACCTCTTACATACCTACAGAGCATCAAAGCGAACAGCCTCACAGGGCTATTAGCTGATGACGGGTAACTACTGTCTATTAGCTAAGAACTCACAAACCAAATTTTTATAAGCTTTGGGTCTATTTCCTACTCTCAGTTTCCAAAAGTAAAGATAGCTCAACAAGTACCTTTCCATAGTTGACGTCTTAACTTTTAAATCAAGCAGTAGATTACTCACTTTGATTCCCTTAGAGACAGGACTCCAGATAAGGTGTCATTAGTCGTATTTTGATTCTGCTAGGAGTACAAAATCATTAAGAATATCACAAATATTGTTGTGGTTTTTTTACACTCTCTAACAAGAAGTTGTTCTTCAGTTTCCTTGGCCACCCAAAGAACTACACCCCAAAGACTGAATGCCAACGGTATGGAGTATTATCTAGCCAACGATCAAATCCATATTAACGGAGCTACTTTTTGTTTTTATATTTCCTTTAAAAAATATTCTGAATCAGCAAGTCTAATGTGCTAATTAATTTCATTATTCCAAGGGTTCCCCGAAAAGAATACGATTAAAGCTCTGCACGTGAAAGGTCTCAGACTTAAGACCCCAGTGTAAAGAGGGAACTTGGTAGCAGCCTTCACTTCATTTGTAGCACCTTGCTCCTCGCCTGGCACCTAGTAGGTGCTCAGGAAATAGTCACTGGAAGAACAAACCACATTTAGCCGGGATCCTCTGAACCAGGCTAGGTCATGGGAAGTCTGACTCTACTGCATCTGAATCCCCCATGAGGTGGAACAGGATCAGATTCATAAGACTACTCTTAGATTCAATATATTTCTTATTGCTAGAAGTTTCTAATATAATTTAAAAAGTTTTAAAGGCACTAGGATTCCATCGTATGAACATTCAGCAGCAAGTTTAGTGACAACTGAAATATGCCTATTAACAAAGTACCGTGATTATTATGAAGTCAAACCCTCTTGAAAAAGCTAGTGATTCGACAACACTTATTTTATTTAAATTTGGTCATAAAAGTAAATATGCCGAATACCATGAATAATCTGAGCCTTAAACAAATCTTTAAACGCACAAGCACTTCCTTTTTAAGATTGCAATTAAAAAAAATCTTTAAAACCTACCTGGGTAACATTGCTTTCTTCATATGGAAACATTATCTCACCTCTAAAAAATGCTAAAAATAAATTTGCAAAACAAAATTTGAGACTTGCATCATTAGAGCATGTGGATTAATACAACACAGGAAAAGATTATCAGATTAATAATGAATAATCAAATTTATAAAATAAATGGTTTCATCAAATTCTTTGCAGTTACTCACATTTACTGTCTTTTCTATCAGAATGGTACTCAATGACCACCAATACAATTTTCAGAAAATGCAAACCATAAATTCTACGTGGGAATGCGGAAAGAGAAAAAACTTGCCTCCTTGTCAAGAAATTTTAATCCTACATGCTGCTCATCAGATCTTTTTTCCCATAAAGATGCTAACTCGAGGAACTGGCTCTAACATTAAAAATCTTTTTGGGGGGCGCCTGTGTGGCTCAGTAGGCTAAGCGTCTGCCTTCAGCTCAGGTCATGATCCCAGGGTCCTGGGATCGAGGCCCGCAGCAGGCTCCCTGCCTGGCAGGGAGCCTGCTTCTCCCTCTTCCTCTGCCCCCCTTGTGCTCGTGCTCTCTCTGTTTCTCTCTCTCAAATGAATAAAAGAAAATCTTTTAAAAAAATCTTTTGGGGTTTTCTAGTTGCAGTTACATACATAAAGGAGGGAGAGAAAAAGTGTTTCTCAGAAATTAAGCAGCCTTATGAGAGTCTATTTATTCCTTGCCATTTGGGTTTTTCTTTTTTTCTTTTTAAAATATAGCGACCAAGTGCAATCTCCCCGCTAGGAACAAAGTTAAGATTTTGCTTTTGAAACCTGAATAGTCTGCAGGGAGAATCTTTTCTTCAGTTGAACAACTCATTGTGGCTTTCATCCCCAAAATGCCAGAAAACTCTGTTCTTAAAATGCTCACTTCGGGAAATACAGAACTCAATTTCAGTCAACCTGTTTCCTACAGCGTATACTTGAAGGGGCTCCGACTCGATCAGAAAGAAAGAAAATAGAGACTGCTTAACAGAAGCACACTGTGTGCACTTCATAATCTACAGAGACAGAAAACTGGCCTCTTTTTCTTTTTTTTTTAAAGATTTTACTTATTTATTTGACACACACACACACACACACAGAGCGTGAGCACAAGCAGGGGGAGCAGCAGAGGGAGAGGGAGAAGCAGGCTCCCCGCTGAGCAGGGTGCCCGATGTGGGACTCGATCCCAGGACCCTGGGATCATGACCTGAGGCGAAGGCAGACGCTTAACCGACTGAGCCACCCAGGTGCCCCGAAAACCAGCCTCTAGAGCAGAAGGCAAAGAGGTCATACAAACTAGAGCAGGTGTCAGCCATTTTTTTGATATCCGATCAGATATTTGAGGTTTTGTGGGCCATATGTTCTGTCAGAAATACTCAACTTTGCAGTTGTAGCATGAGAGCAGCCAAACAATATGTACACGACTTGCATGGCTATGTTCCAATAAAACTTTATTTACAAAAACAGGTGGCAGGTATTTAGACTATGGGCAGTAGCTTGTCAACTCCTGAGCTAGAGGGTTGAATGCCTTCTCAGCTCATTTTTATAACAACCCAAAGTACCACTGGTGCCCACAGCCAAGTACCCAATGGTCCACTTCCACTTAAAATGGCCGACAAAGCCACTGGCCCAGTGACTAACAGGATTTATCTATTTTAGCAACTGTTCTACTGAGAACCTCAACTTCGGTATGTTCATGCTGAAATCTCAATTAATGCAGTATACAATTATTAAAAGTAAAGATACTTGATATGTGCATAGAATTACTTATCCATTTTGGGAAAAACCCTTAGCTATTAAAGATGTATTTAGCGTGTGCACGTGCCTTCAGGCTTGTGGAGCGCACGCTGAATTTCATACATGTGCTGCGAGCACAGTGTTAGCAGTGTGACCCAGAACCTTTTGACCCTCAGCCTAACTCTGCCTGGTCAGCTCCCAGTTTTTTCACCAGCCTCCATTTCCCTTAATGAAGTCAGATTGGAACCTGCGAGAAGTGAAGGTTTCTCGTTTCTGGCAGGAGACCATGGGATTTCTGGTGCCAAAAGAGTTGGTTCCCTGATGAGGCTGTTTTCACCAGACACTAAAACAAATGGTCAATTCAGTCACTTAACTGAGGAAAACATTACTCCAACTAGCTTCCTGGCATCTGTTATTCAAGATGACCGTTTTTTATTTTTCGTTTTTTGTTTTCTAAATGTTCAATTTTCAAAGTTATCAAACATCATGTAGACACAACACTAAGCTAGACATTAGTCACCAGTCCAAAACACAGATGAAGCGTAAAAATAATGAAATTATGGAGAATTCAGTAAGAGAAGGGTAAGACAAGAGGGAGGGAAGAAGAGCTACACAATATATGAAAGTGAAACGTATCTCACAAGTCTTTTTCCCCTTTAATCAAAGCCAGCTAATATTTGCCTACAATACTCTACCTGGCACATACTATCAGCAGAATGCTCACATCCCTAAAGCTCACATTCACACAAGTAGAAAATGTTTGTGGACCATTCTTTGAATACAAAGTTTTCTTATTTTCTTTCTTTCTTTCTTTCTTTTTTAAAGATTTTATTTATTTATTTGAGAGAGAGAGAGAATGAGAGACAGAGAGCATGAGAAGGAGGAAGGTCAGAGGGAGAAGCAGACTCCCCGCTGAGCAGGGAGCCCGATGCGGGACTCGATGCGGGACTCGATCCCGGGACTCCAGGATCATGACCTGAGCCGAAGGCAGTCGCTTAACCAACTGAGCCACCCAGGCGCCCAAGTTTTCTTATTTTCTAATACAACCCAACCTTAACCTCTTTTACTTGAAGTTGTTTCCTGTGTTTTTAAAACAAATTATTAGAGGAAACAGAACAAAAGGAACAGAAGAAATGGAAAACATTCCTATAAGGATTGTTTTTTAAGACTTTAAAATTACAAAATACTTCATTACCTTCCTCCTCTCTCTTCCCGTGATCCAGTACTGACCTACCACACCATGTTTTATGTCTTTCACATCAGCTTTCATTGGTTTTAATAAGGAAGGGAACCCAACAAGCCAAACCAATGTGAGAAAAACGGTCGTTTCATTCTTTCTGGCCCATGGCAGAAGGGAAAATATTCCCATTTCAAAAATAGCGTGTTCTCAAGAGATTTCCGTTTTCAATTTGAAAAAGAGTGACAGTCTGGGTTAAAGATGGCAAAATACACTCTGGGCACTACTGGAATTAGCAACCAATTAAGCTAGGTGTCCGTGAGGTTTTCAACATTCTAGTGGAGCGGTATATTTTACTTTTAGCAGAAGACGACACCCTTTTTCTAAGCTATAATACTTAAGGTCCTATGGAAAGGCTTGAGGGATTTATATACCAGAAGTGGCTTTCAATAATTAAGTTCATTACTAGTTATATTCATGGATCAACTCTAAGGGTATTAGTTATGGATTTAAAGCTATGGCGAAAATATCTGGTGTAGAGCTTCATATTCTCATAGAAAGTTAATCCATCATCTCACTAAGCAACGGGATAATTTCAGGCAGATCTAAAATTTGCTTTTGTTTTCATTTGGGACTTCTTAGTAGCCAGGCGATGTGAAAAGAGACAGATCAGAGAGATACACATCACATACTCAACAGGAGAAAAACCTTTTCTCTCTCTGGAGCTCATTTATCTGGTAATGTGTAATGTACACAAGAACTAACCTGAGTCATTGCAAATAGATGACAAATTGCAGATATTTCTCTGGGGTTTGACTCCTGCAAAGAAAACAACCCGGCCGGTTAAACATGTCAACACCTACACTTATATCCTACATTGTCAAGAGAATTCACAAATTTAGGCATCAAACGTGGGCCTAAAATATTATAAGTTGGATATAATTGGCTGGATGAATTCCACAAAGACTAGAGGAATGAGAGAGTTTTCATTTCTTAGTTGGTCAGCTATAGAACCTGATTCTTTACTATTCTTTAGTGTGTCACTGTCTAACCCCCTACTCCTCCCTCAAAATATTTATTGTCCTGTTCCCCATTAAACCCTCTCCTGTCCAACATAAAAAGAACAGTGTGAATGCAAATCGAGCATAGAGACTTTAAATGCAATAGCCCTTACTCATAGATCCTCTTTCCTTTCCTGGGCAGGGGATTCCATGAACGCTCTAATGCTGGTCTTATTTCCTTATGCAAATATATGTAAGAAATAACATCAATGTCATGATGTCACTGCACCTAGGCAAAAACCACAAAATTCAAAAACTATTTGCTGAACAACTATCATATTCTACAGGTTTGGGAAGGTTCCAGATACAGACCCTGCCCTCAACGAGCATGCCATCTAGTAAGTGATAGTGGGCGGTAAATAAAAAGTTATAGTGAAGGCAAAATGGAGTGATGGCCAGGACAACAGACCACACAGGCATACAAAGGAGGGACAGACGAATGAGAGATGAAATAAATCAAAAACTCCATACACATTCACCTAAAAAACACTTTCTCCCTTGGTGAAAGGAGAAGTACATCTCTTCTTTGATTTGAAGAGAGCTCAAGGTTTACTCCCTAAAAATCTTGCCTTCGTTAATTTCATCGTTTTGGCAAAGTAAAAGAAATCTATAGTAAATGTGAGGTGCAAATGTTGATAACGTATTAAGCAAAGGGCCAAGGGGAAAAGATTGTTATATTAAGGGATATTTTGCTGTCCTTGTTAGGTCTGGCTTGGTCAGAATTATGTATGCAATGCCTGATTGCTATTTTATTTCCATTGTACTTTATGACTGCTTAATTTTTTTCTTAAGAGAACAAGTTTGGGCACAAACTAAAATTAGAGCTTGTATTAGTGCATGTGAAATGGTTTCTGCCAGAATGATCTGGGTGATGTTTGTTGTATAGGCATCATGCTTCAACTAAGAGTTTTGATTCTGTGAGCAAACTGAATTTAGGTGCCAAAAGTTACCCGACCTGTAGAATTCTACATTGTTTCACAGCAATGTTACCCACACCAAAAGAGAGATTTCATCTTAAATAAACCTGCTTTAGATGGTGGGTAGTAATGCTTTAAATGTTCTCTACAACCATTGGTCTATTGTTCACTAAGTGTTACATTCCATCATCTCTCACCTTTCTCTAAATTTTAGTGGTAACTTTGTTTCCAGTGATGTGTGTCTTTTGCTGCTCATTAACCCTGAGAATTTTCTTTCCCATTGCTAGGGCTGTTATCTGCAATTTCCCCCAAGTACATGGCCACAGGTCATCCTTTTAAGTCATGAGTGAGAAAACTTTGTAAAGGGTCAAATAATAAATATTTTAGGTTTTGTGGGCCATATAGTCTCTGTCACAACTACTCAACTCTCCTGTTCATTGTATCGGAAAAGTAGCCATAGATAACATGTAAACAAATGGGTATGGCAGTGTTCCAATAAAACTTGATTTACAAAAATAGGTAGTGGGCCACATTTGCCCTGCAGGCCACAGTTTGCTAACCCCTGCTTTAAATCAACCAGAAGCTTTTGTTAAGCAAATCACATATTCCTACTCTTACACTAGGTACTTAAAAGTACATCCCTTTTTTGATTTCAAAAGAGTTTGAGGCTGACTCCTCTAAGAATCTCTCCCTCATAAATTAGATCCCATTGATAACCACTAGCACCAGCCCTTTTATTTCCCATGCTTCACCATGTCAGAAACACTTGTGTTATCATTTGCCTTTATCTGCATACATGTTCATGTTAGTTATCTCTTTGTTTGCCTTGTCTCTCCCCAAACTAGAAGATTCTTAAGGGTGGGCATTGTATTTCATCATGATTATATAGCCCGAAACACTTAGTACAACTTCAGGTACCCAGTGCATAAACACCTATTCATTAAGAACAGATTTCACTTTTAAAGGGTGGGAAAAAAGAGAAAGAAAACATAAAAACCAGCCATTCGTTTCATTTTACTTTAGTTATAAAAAAGAAAGTCTTGATATTGATAGTAAGTCATACCTGATGCATTGAAGGTTTTTACTATAGTGATTTTAGTTTTTTCTGCAAAGAAGCAATTTAAATATTAGAGCAGAATTGTTGCATGTTTTTAAAAACAATTTGCCATGAATATCATTTTAGTGAAGTGCTAAGAAAACCATACTGTTGACACCTTTCAGACATTATTGGTCATCCCAGCAGCAGAATAAATGGGAATCGCAGACCCAGATCATATAACATTGGAATAGGGTGGGTCTGCAATTTGGATTCCCATGTTTACCCCGTTATCTCACACCCATCACATACCCCACTGTTTGTGTCATTCTACCACAGTTTCCATGCGCTGCTGCTAGGCAAATTAATGTGGACTTACACTTCAGATATGTAGAATTAAGTCATTATCAGGACCTTCAGGTGACAGGTTGTAAAGAAAAGGTGATTCAGAATAAAACTTAATGGAAACACAAGATCTAAAATATCGCATGCTCTATAATCAAGAAAGTGTCCTGCTATTTTCTCTAGGAGTTAACATAATAGTATTGCTGTTGTATCAGTAGATAAAATTATTCTCAATGAGGCTGAAACCACTCAGCTACAGTTGTACAATAAGCTCAGAGCAGAAGCTAGACAGAACTGTTCAAACCACAGGCAAATATGAACACACTCTGGAGAAGCAAACCTTAGAAATATCTTCCCAACAGACTCTGGGTACAGAGCCCATGGTTCATTTCTCAGATAATGGAGAACCAGGTTCAGAAATCCTGGCTTTAAGGATGGTCAATTAGAAGAGGCTGCGTTCGGGGCACAGATTTGCAAAGGTCTGTCTGCTAGGGTGAGTGGCAAATTCTGAAGAAAACACAAAGCTCAGATCTTGGAGAAGCACTTAAGAATGATGACGTTATACCAACAGTTTCTGAAACCTCATTTGTGTTATGTGTTATCGATGAGTTCCTGCTTCAACACGTGACTGACTCATGGGCAATGGTTGGTGGTAATTATAGAGGATGACGGTATTTTGCGTTATCATGAAGAATCTTTTAAATATATTATTTGGTTTGCCCTGATACTTTCCTTTCCAGAGCAAACAAAACACAGCTGTGAAATGAACTTCTGGTTCTAGTAACAAAAGTGCTTTTGGGGACAAAAGTTCAACCTCACTAATTAAGAATGTAAAACAGAACCTACAGAATTGAAAGATCTAATAATATATGATGTAGTCTCAGTTCTCAGCAAAGGGACAGTGACACAGACATCCTCATTCACTGCTGACAGCAATGTTGCTGGGTACAAGCTTTCAACAAGGTAACTGAGCAATATGTGTATCAAGGACCTTAAAATACTCCTACTGCTAACCCATTAAGTCCAGTCCTTAGAATGCATCCTACAGAAATCAGGAATGAATGCAAAATGTTGGCACAAGGATGTTCATTGCAAAAATTTCTATTAAGAAAATAGAAACAGCTTGAAGAATGTTCAACATATGGTACACAATGGAATATTATCAAGTCATTAATAGTAACAGACAATAGAAAATACTTATAATTTAATACTTATAATTTAATATGAAATCAAAAGGGCAAGACATAAAAATCTATATACCCTATGACTATTGTGTAAAAGATACACACACACACACACAGTGTGTATGTATATATGATCCTGAATGGAAATATACCAAATTATTAACAGTAATAGTCTTAGAAAAGTGACATTAGAGATGATTTCTATTTTTTTCATTGTATTTTTCTATATTCTCCATTTGTTACGAGCTAAGATATATTACTACTACAATTTTTTTGATGTTATTTTAAGCGGAAAGTGGCAACACAAGAATGACAATGTCAAAGTGAAATGAGTAGTCAATCAACAATGGAAGGCACAGGAAGTATGCAAGGAGACAACCTTTAGCAATCCAGAAGACTGACCACACAAGTGAGAAACCCAAGAAAGCACAGAAGAGGAGCTATTATATTTAGAAAGAACTTGATATTACCTGTTTTGTTTAAAGTGGATAATACACTCGAAGTAGCATCTGAAATAAAGTAATGAAAATTAAGCCTAATTATTGATATGCTTAACAAACACAAGCATCTTCTAGGTTCCGTGAACATTTCACTTCTCCCCAAATCCTAGAGAAGCTAGAGAGTTTTGCAAAAGCAAGCTGACGCTATCAAATGTCTTTGCTGTCCACCCCGCCACACACTAACCATTCTCCAACCCCCAGACACAATTCCTGAGCAAGTATTCATTCTTTAAAAATGTGTTTCCTGAACACAGGTGATGTGTCTAAAACATACCAACACTTCTATAATGATTAGATTTAAATAAACCCATTTATGTTGTTTAATATTTCGTCCCTTTTATACTCCATTATAATGCAAGTCCCTAAGGGATATATTTCCAGTTAATACCAACTTTAATATATAGCCCTGGGGATGCTTAAAGGTACACTCTTATAAAGCAATCTTTAAGCAGTTCTAGCTTAAAATTAAACTTCTTGAACATTACATTTCACTAACTTTTAGAAAAAAAATCTCATTTTGATCTTGTTTCCCTTAAAATTCAATTGAAAATCTATTCTAACCGGTATTTCTTTAAATAAAAATCATTCTGTAATTTATTATTCTGGATGAAACTTTAGGGGGAAAAGGCACATATTACCATACTTAAAAACCCACATACCATGGATCCAAAAACTACTGCCAAAGCTATTTTGAAGATGTTCTTTCATTCACTTTAAAAAGTAATTAAACATAGTTACGATGTAATGTCTAGCCCTTTCCATTGGACCAAATATGAATTTAAACCGGTTTCGATCAGTGTGAACTCCATCTAAGATTGTTTAGCTCCTTAACCATCAACCACATGGTGAGATTTTTATTTTAACCAAGTAAGGGACTGTGGAAAGAGTTGGGTTTTGGCTGCACAAAGAAAGAGGCTGTCTACCCACAGAATTCGGGAAGGCACAGGATTTGCCCTGTCCACCTCCCTCAAACACAGCCCACTTCTCCGGCATGATGCAGCAGCCAGGTTTTTCTCTTCATGTCATGCTACTTAAAAATTGATAAAATCATCCATAAAAGGGTGGTCTTTGAACACTCTATGCCTCCAAATCCATGCTGAATCATATTGAAGTCACTGGGTGTGCTTCCCACATTTAAACAATCTGTCATATAAAATGTGCCGGCATTGTGTTGGGAAGCAAGAGAAACAGGGTACTCAAACTGTGATCACTATTTCTTCTTTTTCATAGAACAGTTAGCGTGGTGGGGGGCTGGCCTCCCTCCATGATAATAAGAATGTTTTCATTTAACCGAAAAGTTTGGGGTGCTCTCCAGGATTGACAGTTTTGGGGGTTTGTTCTATTTGGGGTGTTTTTTCTTTTGCATATTCGAATATGAAAACCTTCAACACTACTCATTATACTTATATTCATATTAAGGGTTATCAATTTTCACTTGCTTCAGAAAAATTCTTACCATTTAGGCTTGTAGTTTCAACCTCTTTTGCCCCGAGGGGAAAAAAAATAAAAAGATATAATTAAATCCAAAATTTAACAAATTAGGCTAAATCTAGGTTTGAATTTTTTCAAAATCTTGCCTGGAGTACCATTGGTGTAGGGGACAAAACCAACAAAAGATGATTCAACTGCAAGAAGAAAAAAAACAACAAAAATTTCAAATTAATATTTTAATTGAATATAATTTAATTTAATTGAAACTTATTTATTGAACTCTAAGGAGTTAAAACTTTTGATAGAATTATGAAAAGAAGTAGACAACATGCTATCAGGCCAATATGAATCTGCAAGCCCCATAATCCTTCAGGGAATATACAATTAACCAGAGAATTGCAGAGAAAGAACCCAAGAAATGAAATGAGCAGTTGTCTCATTTTACAGACAAAGAACTTGAGACTCTTCCTTCAAAGCCTGCTCCTACCTATGGAATATTATGGACATAAGTTTAGAAACCACAGCAAAACATGTGACATACCACTTTCAATTTTTTTTTTCAGCCAGAGAATTCTAGAAACATTTTATACTTTGAATAACTGTCAAACTACAATTATAAAACATACCAGCACATTGGCTCCATTCTGTTATAATAACGCCTGACAACTCTTCCCAATGTTAATTAAGGATTTAAAAAAAAAAAAAAAAAACCAACAACTTTGCTACCACTCAGTACAGTACCACCTAACACAATTTCCTGGTAAGGTATTTTAAAATATGGCTGCTAGGGCGCCTGGGTGGCTCAGATGGTTAAGCATCTGCCTTCGGCTCAGGTCATGATCTCAGGGTCCTGGGATCGAGTCCCGCATCGGGCTCCCTGCTCCTTGGGAGCCTGCTTCTCCCTCTGCCTCTCTCTCTCTCTCATGAATAAATAAATAAAATCTTTAAAAATAAATAAATAAATAAATAAAAATAAAACTTAAAAAAAATATATGGCTGCTATTAAGACAATCAATCAAGTTATAAATTTCCCATGGAGTAAATCTACTTAGGCTAAGAGGTCCGTCTACTACACACATTGTGCATGTTGGAATATTAAAAAGATCCTATGGCTTGACTTCTACGTATATGCAGGAAAAGGAAACATAAACGTTTTACAAGTAACACAAGCTTCGCAGTAGGCAGACTGATTTTCAGTGCGTAAGGACACTTGGGTGTGTCAAGGCGCTGGGCTGGCCTGTTTTAGACTGCTCATCCGTTGGCTGAAACACACACACACCCTGTCTGTCCTACATTATTGCTTCCATATTTTGCATTTACTGCATTTCTTTTTAATTACCAAGGATATTTCTTGAGAAATAAGACAGTTCCTGAGCAATAAGATTCAAAGTGTGGATATGGAATCCTTTGCAAAACAAAATAATTGGCCAAAGCTGGTTTTTAATTAACGAGTATTCATTCTTCTGAAAGGTGATGAACGGTGAGAAGCCTGTGTGCACACCCCCTTGCCAGTCCCTGGATGTGCATGAGCTACTCCGTTCCTAAGTGAGTGCAGCTCCCCCCCAGGGCACCCAGATTGCAGGCTTTGACTGGAACCAGTGTGTGTCTCCAAATCTCCATGCCCCCTATTTCCATGAAAACAGGATTTTGCTGATATCACCATGATTAAGTCAGATGATGGCCACTGTACTAGGAGAAAAATACAGTGGTTCATTTTACCCCAGGAGCTTAACAGCAAGGGGGCAAATTGGCACAGTCAAAAAAGCTTGGGCTTTGGAGGCTTGCAGTCCTGGTTTGAATCTTTGCCCCATTACTTAATCACTCATAATAATGATCGTTATTACTTATTGAGGGTTTACGCCGGGTCAGGTGCATATGTTATCTCATTTCATCTTCACAACTACCCTATGAAGCAGGTACTATTATATTCCCCGATTTATAGATGAAGGAACTGAGGCACAGAAAGGTGAAGAAACTTGCCCAAAGTCACACAACTAGCAACAGGGTGGGAGGGTACTGGTCAAGTTCAAATACACGTAGTCTGGTTCCACAGAATGTGTGAACATGAGCAAGTTTTATCCTCTCTGACCCTCAGTTTCCTCATCTAGAACATGAATATAATAATTCCTATACTGCAAGACTGGAAGCTGAATGAGATGTCTGGAGACTCCTAAGCATGTAGTATGTGCACAAGAAGTAATAGCTATCATTAATTTTATTTAAGTGAATTAACAGCAGAAGCTCATTTTGATACAACTAAGGATAGAATGTGAGTTGACTCACTCCTTACCATAACAGATTGTTCTACAATATATGGTATACCAGAAAGAACGCAGAAGGAGGAGGCAGAAAAGTCACGTGCCACCTGTGCTTAACAGTGGCAGGGAGCTGTGTGACCTTAGGTAAGTTACTCGGGCTTCACTATCTCATCAGCTCTCACCATATGGGGCTGGACCACTTTATCCCTGAGTTCCGGTTCCGGTTCCAGCTAGCAGTCTCGAATGTGGGTTCTATTCCTGGTTCCTGCCAAGAGGGTCCTAGTTAAAAATTTCTCTTTATTTGCCTTCCCGTTCTCAGGAGGGCTAAGCCCTCAGAAGTCCTTTGAAAAGTATTTGTTCAGAAGTGACTGAAGAAGTATATTTAAGAGAGCATCCCATGCCTCAAATATATAGGAACATTCGGCAGGTTTATGTTCTTAATGGTCTACAGGAGACCTATGAACTAGAATACTAAAAATAACGTTGAAGAACTTAAGCAGTCCCCCAAATGAAAACCCACAAGTTATTCCTCAGCTTTGTCCATATATGTGGGGGGACCAATTTGCCTGTCCGCTTGTCTATGTGTGCTAGTGACTTTTCAGGTGTAGGTTTAATTCAGTCAGCCTGCATGGAGAAAAGCAATTTTGCTGTATCTGACTACATGCCATATTGCATGGAGAACTTTTGGAATATTTTCCTGAAATTCCCCAAAGCCATGAAATAACAGTCTTACCAGATGGTGATAACAAACTGGAATTATCAGCATTCTCTGTTGAGGAAAAAGGTGATTTAAAGTTAGTTAATTTGTGCATGAATTTATAGATGAACATCTTTAACAGGAGCGAATGTAAAATGAATTGCAAATAACTACCAAAAGAGGGCAGTGTATTAATTTACAATTATTTTCAACAGCCTCATCAGTACTTGTCAACTCAATTCTCTAGAGACACATCTCTGGTGAAGCAATTCTTCCAATTTAACTGGTGATGGTGTTCCCTCTATTCTGTTATATAATGATATAGTATATATGAAACTTAAAATGATGACTGAGAACTTCAGTTGTTGGCTTGTATTCATTAAAATCTGTAAAAGAAAAGGGGAGCCAGGGTGGTTCAGCTGGTGAAGCGTTGGTCTAGGTTTCCACTCAGGTCATGATCTCAGGGTAGTGGGATCGAGCCCAACCTCCTCAGCGGGGAGTCTGCTTGAGATTCTCTCTCTCCCTCTCCCTTTTCCCCTCCCCCCACTTGTGCTCTCTCTCTCTCTCTCAAATAAATAAAAATCTTTTTAAAAAACGAAAAGGGGGGGGGCGCCTGGGTGGCTCAGTTGGTTAAGCGACTGCCTTCAGCTCAGGTCATGATCCTGGAGTCCCTGGATCAAGTCCCGCATCGGGCTCCCTGCTCAGCAGGGAGTCTGCTTTGCCCTCTGACCCTACCCCCTCTCATGTGTTCTCTCTCCTTCTCTCTCTCTCAAATAAATAAATTAAATTAAATAAAAATCTTAAAAAAAAAAAAAAAACGAAAAGGGGGCACCTGGGTGGCTCAGTCGTTAAGCGTCTGCCTTCGGCTCAGGTCATGATCCCAGGGTCCTGGGATCAAGCCCCACATCGGGCTCCCTGCTCGGCGGGAAGCCTGTTTCTCCCTCTCCCACTCCCCCTGCTTGTGTTCCCTCTCTCGCTGTGTCTCTCTCTGTTAAATAAATAAAATCTTTAAAAGGAAGAAAAGAATGTGTAACCATAAAGGTATATATCTGCATAAACAAAACTTCCACTAACTGTGCTTCTTTGTACACCTATTAGCACAGCCTTTATATTATACCTAGTAAGTGTATTATACTTCTTTCTTAGGAGTTAAACCACATCAGATGCCTCTGAGTTTATAAACTACAAGAACCGCTGTTATTTACTTTCAGAGGATGCTCAGATTCCTTAAAAGAAGTTCTACTTTTTTCTCTCTGAAAAACAATACACACTTATTGGAACAACTTCAGATAAATAAAAAAGAAAATTAAAACCACCTATAATTTCACCACCCAGATATAGATGACATTAATATTTTGGCATATATGCTTTGCTCTCTCTCTCTCTCTCTCTCTGTTTATATGTATATCTACATATGTATATAGATATATGAATATATGTATGTAGGTATTTATGTGTGAGAAAGATCATATTACATAAACTATTTGTATTCTGATTTTTCTCATGACAGTATATCCTGAATATTCTTTTATATCATTAAACAATTTTCCACAATACCTGACTTATGATCACTGTATAGCATTTCATTGACTGCATGTACCATTAATTTATACAACAAATTTCATTTTAGTGGTACAATTTTTCATGATTATAAACAATGTTGTAATAAATACTTTTGGCTAAATTTTTGTAATACATACTTGGCTGCTTCCTTCAGAAATTCCATGATTTTGATTGCCAAAATGCCCTACAGAAAACAAACCAATTTATACAACCCTCTGCAGCACGTGAGTGCTACTTCCCCAAACTCAAAAACCCACGTGGGGTATTAAAATTTAAAAATTTTTTTTAATGACAGGGCGCCTGGGTGGCTCAGTCGTTAAGCGTCTGCGGTCGGCTCAGGTCACGGTCCCAGGGTCCTGGGATCAAGCCCCGCGTCGGGCTCCCTGCTCTACGGGAAGCCTGCTTCTCCCTCTCCCACTCCCCCTGCTTGTGTTCCCTCTCTTGCTGTGTCTCTCTCTGTCAAATAAATAAAAAAAAATCTTTAATTTTTTTTTAATTACAAAGGAAAGATTATTTCTATAGTGGTATCTTGAAATACAAAAAAATAATAATAATAATATGTAGGGGCGCCTGGGTGTCTCAGTCTGTTAAGCATCTGCCTTCAGCTTGGATCATGATCCCAGGGTCCTGGGATCGAGTCTCACGTCCGGCTCCTTGCTCAGCGGGGAGCCTGCTTCTCCCTTTGCCTGCTACTCCCCCTGCTTGTGCTCTCTCACGCTCTCTCTCTATGATAAATAAACTCTTAAAAAAAATAATAATATGTATGTTTGGGGGTGCCTGGGTGGCTCACTCGGTTGAGCATCTGACTCTTGATTTCAGCTCAGGTCATGATCTCAGGGTTGTGGGATCGAGCCCCATGTCGGGCTCCCCGCTCAACAGAGACTACTTGAGATTCTTTCTCCTTCTCCCCTGCCCCTCTCACGAGTACTCTCTCTCTCTCTAAAATAAATAAATTGATCTTTAACAAAAAAGAATATGTATGTTTGGAAACTAAAATTGCACGGTGAAACATACCTGGTAGGCTCCAAAAGCCTCTTTTCCTGAAGTGGTGGTAGGGTACTGATTATTTCCTGGGATCATTAAAACACAATTCCACTTGAAAGCAAGACCAAGTGAGTGCTCAAGTTCCCAATTACCCTGCAGCCAACAAGGCAAATGTATGCAGAGTGGTTAGTGCCTCGATGCCCCAATTTAATTGGAATTGCCTCCTCTTAGTCTCTGTCCTTCAATATCTCCCTTAGGCTACTTTAATATTCTACCAATTAAAGAGTCTGTTGAGTTAACAGGAGCTTAATTTTTAAAATACTCTTGGGAGCACTAAGGGAAAATCAGTCATTCACACCTTAGTATGAATTACCTCCAATTGGCTGAATTATTCCAATCATGTAGTAAAGACCTACCATGCTGGGCCATGTTGAAAAGTACTGGGAAGAATCAACATTCAATATGGGCTACTCTGAGAATGACACTTATTAGTGTGGGCAGGTGAGGTGGAGTGGGCCGCGAATGTGGCACAGGCAGGGAAGAGCATGAAGGCACTGAGGAAGTGTTCAGTACCAGGAAAGAGTTCAATACCAGGAAAGAAGGGTGGAGAGTAATGTTTAAGGCCAACAGAGGCTTATTCTGCTGCCTCTACAATTTTGCCCAGGAGCTGACCAGAGCAGCCAATGGTTCCAACCTCCTCCACTGCCAAATCTTTTGACCTATAGGCAGAGCTGGCCTCTTCCGTCTTGAACCTTGCAGGGCTCCCAGCAACGATCTACACTGATGAAGGGAGGAAATCTGGTTAATAAAGCCAGAGATTTTTAAATTGTTATTGTCCACTTTTTTTTTCTTTTGGCATTTTTTTTCTTCGAGGGGCCTGATTGCTTAGTGACTAATATTTTATTCATTTTTTTTTCTGTCTCTCATTACAATCCTCCACATCACTCCTCTTGGTCCAAAATAGAGATGTCCCCATAGGCCTTGCATTTTCCTGACTATCAGCCCATTTCTCTTGGGCTCTCTCCTAACTCACTTCCCATTTGTTACAACCAAAGAGGTGGTCGTCATTTCCACTGAGTCATATATTTGAGCTCCATGCCATTCTTAGGAGACAAAACATTTCCACTGTTACAAGGATTCATAAACAAAGAAAGGAAAAACATTTAAATTTTTCAGATTTTCCTTTGGAAACCTACTACGAGCACATTTTAAAGCATTATTCATTTACTGAAGTCTCAATTTAAGTCAATAAATAAAATTATTGGGGGCACCTGGGTGGCTCAGTCAGTCGAGCGTCCGACTCTTGGTGTCTGCTCTGGTCATGATCTCAGGGTTATGGGATCGAGCCCTAAGTCGGGACTCCGTGCTCAGCGGGGAGTCTGCTTGAGTTTCTCTCTCCCTTGCCATCTGCTCCTCCCCACTGTGCTCCCTCTCTCTCTCTCTCTCTAAAATAAATAAATCTTTAAAAAACTAATAAATAAAATTATTGTGGTCTACAAAATTTACTCAGTATTACTCTAGTGATTTTTTTTTTTTAAAACAAAGCACTTATTTCTGATTATGATGAACAGGAGTTTGGCATGCATATACTTAACAATGAAAGCCAAAGACAGAAACTGGAAACTCCAGAAACCGAACTCCTCAACAGTCTCTTACCCTCCGTCACCTCCCTGGCACTTTCTTTTGGCTATTGCCACCACCTCCTCAACCCCAACCCCGCGAGGCCAAGTGCGGTCTGAGCACTGCCAAGTGAATGCCTTACTGTCTTTGCCCCTCCAACTGCATATATCCCAGAACTTCTCCCTCATCACCCCACATCATTTCCATACCTGCTGAGTTCTCAAATTTGATGGTGTTGCTGGTAACATCAGCCAAATAATTTAAGATGGAAATGCCCGGGTATTAGTTTCCTGTTGCTGCTGTAACATATTACCATGAACTCAGCGGTTTAAGACAACACAAATGGGTGATGTCAGATTTCTGTAGGTCAGGAGTCCAATATGAGTCTCACCAGACAAAAATCAAGGTGTCAACAGGCTGCATTCCTTTCTGGAGGCTCCAGGGGAGAATGTGAGTCCTGCTTATCTAGGGTACTACAGAATTTAATTCCTTGCAGTTGTAGGACCAAGGTACTCATTGACTTGCTGGCTGGAAATTGAGAGCCATTCCCAGATTCTAGAAGCTACCCACATTTCTTCATTCATGCCTCATTCTTCCATCTTCAAAGATAGCAATGGTGGGATGGGGTGGGAGGGGGGACTCCTTCACCTGGGGCATTCTACTCACTCACTCTTCTACCTTCCTCTTCTACTTTTAAGAACTCCCAGGATTAGACTGGGCTCACCCAGGTAATCCATGATAATCTCCCCATCTTACAGTCCTTAACTTCCATCACACCTGCAAAGTCCCTTTTGTTAGGTAAGGTAACATATTTGCAGATCCTAGGCATTAGGACAGGGACGTCTTTGAGGAGCAATTATTCTTCCTACCATACTCAGAAATCCAGGTGTTTTTTTTTAAATTAT